AAGACCGGGCCGATATCGGGCCAGTACTGGCAAAAAGACAGGACCAATATTGGCCCGTTTGTTCACCAGTGTTCGGCATTCATATTGGGCCAGTATTGGCAAGAAGACAGGACCAATATTGAAACTGTTGTCTTGCCAAGCATCGTTCTTGTACTGGTAAAACAACAGGTCCGATACTGGTGCCACGGATGGTCCAATGTCTAACTTACAGTTTCGCCAAGAGTCGTTCATGTACCGGCGAAACGACTGGCCCGATACTGGCACCACGGATGAGCCAATGTTCAAACTTTAATTTTATCGAAAATCATTCTTGCGATCAATATATTGGCGCCACAATGTTGGCATCATATAAAATATAAAATTGCAACATTCTGCCAATACTTGAAATCCATATCTGACCAATCTCGGAAGTAAGTATCGTGCCGAGCTTAAGAGCCAGCGTTGGCCCGATCTAATCATTAAGCATATTCGCCCAGTACTGGCTACTACTGTCGTACCAATATCGAGCCTCGTTGCCAATACTGGGCCGTTCGTCAATTCCTACAAGGGTAATGATCAAAAGTCGGACCAAACATTGATTCACGTGACGTCGTAGAAACGTCGTCGCGGTACGCCTTTTGGCGTAACTTGCTACAAATTATGCAATTTCCTACCGTAACAGATTGAAGGTTGCAGTTCCCACGTGCTACTTACCCGTAGAGCAAGCGCTACAAATGTCTCATTGTATGACGACATTCGACCTGGTGAATTACGATCCGGTGTGTGTGTGTGTGTGTGTGTGTGTACGGTGAAAATTATTCAGATTAACGGCTTGCACCTAGCATATATCATGCCAAATTCTTAATTCGTCGCAGTCGCCGCTTGTTACATAAAAATGGTTACATCGCGAGAGACGAAACTCGCGGATATACGTATGTAATACAATGCGCGCGCTGATCGTCGACGCTTACCTTATAAATTAATGCCGCTGCGTTTCGAAAGTATATATACACATATACACCCACAAGCGAATTACTTGGAGCGGAATAAATTATAAATTCTCTTAAATAAAATAAACTCGTGTATGCGATAATAAATTGAAAAATTGTGCAAGAATCGCGATGAACACTGAAGCGAGACATATAACGAAAACGAAATTCCCTTTTACCAAGTATATAATAGCAGAACTTGTTAAAAAAAAAAAAAAAAAAAAGAAAAATCATTTTTATAATCAGTGAGAAGAAACTACTCGTATGCGTGCAATTTTATTCGAGAAATTTTTCTCGCGTTGTTTCTCCCATCGGTATACACCTGTAACGTCATTTCCGTGATAAAGCGTGAAGAGAGATGACGCGGTTCGCGCGCCATCGAAGCCTGATTGTAAAGTCCCGGCCCCGTGGGACTGGAAAATTGCGAAAGATTATAAACTGTGCGGAGCGCGAGAAGAGGCCGTTAGGAAAGTAAAAAGAGAGAGAGAGAGAGGTAGAAAAGAGGTAGAAAATACACAGCAGGGAAGAAAGATCGGGTGAAAAGGAGAGTCGTGAGACACGTTCGACGACTCTCGTTTCAATCGCACACACGCCGCGCCGTCGTCTTGTAAAAAAAAGTCTTCTCTCTACGTCCGTTCGCAAAGGATAACGTTAAGATTTTGCACAAGCGCATTCACATCGTTGGCATTAGACGTACGAACTGTCGAACAAGCTGCACACGCTTCGTCGCTTCTCGCGTGAGAGCGAATATCGTTCACGCGGTCAATCAGGAGCGATCGGACTGGAAAGCATTTGATCGTTATATGCTCCGTGTGTGCGCAATACATCTATTATGTAATGAGATCGGTAGCTCCGCGTGGTTAAAGTCCAATCGCGCGAGATTATTTTAGCAGGAAGCGATTATGCTTGGCGAAAGACACGACGGGGATGAAAAAAAAAAAAACAAGTTGTCGAAATTTCTTTATATTTATATATATATATATATATATACGTTAGATCTGTTTCAGAAGAAAGTGATTAACCGTTTTATGCATTACATATGTTCGAGAAGAAATGCTTGATCGTATGATCGATAGAAAAGCAAATTAGTCACGGTGTGTATTTCGCGTCGTTTTCAGTCGCGACGAGAGACGTAAAGACGCGGTGCAATGTTATACAGATAGTTACTTCGAATAACCAATTTACATTGCAAAAATTCGTTTTACTCGATTGCCACGCTTACGCAGGCAACGTTAATATCGTTAGCTTAACCTGAATTTGAGCGGCGCACATACTCCGCCGTTTTTTTTACGTAACAAACATACGCGTGCTCGTACATAATGTTAATGTTTTAAAGCGACCAAAACAACTCGCCGACGTAATGAACAGCGGACGAAATTACACGTAAATTTCTGCGTTTACTCTGAGCAATGATTATTTCAAATGCGCGTGCTTGCCTTCTCCGCGCAAAAAAAAAAAAAAAAAAAGAAAAAGCGATTCTAATGGGAAGAACAGATGCGTGCGCGCGGCATTCATACGTAACGCACAACACGACGAAAAGCAATCGTGGAATGTGCCGTCGTAGAATTTCACTTTCAGTCCGATCTTCGTTCGCTTTTTTTGCTCGTAACTTCTCTTCGTTTACGGCTCACCATCGTATAACGCATAATAACACACGAAAGCGAATATAACAGAAAGTTAAAGAACCAAACGTGAGTCATCGGAATTACATTCTTGACGGAATACAAACGACTTTTTTATCTTTGAAAACGTGAAAAAAAAACATTTAAATGCGTACCGTTTGATACTTTGCTTCTACCAAGACTCGCACATCATCGATTAAGAAAATATGATTTTCTTTGAAAAAAACTTTCATTCTTTACAATGTGCGAGTTGTGCTAATAGAAAATCTAGACGTTCGAAGAAATAATTACGAGACGGATTATTGAGAGACGTTGAGAAATGTCTATTTCAAGGTTCTTCTCAATATCGTGTTGTTACATGTATATTGGAATTATCATATCATATTTCACTCGAAGAGATCGAGTGCGATATCACGTTTTTCCAGTAGTATATTTGATTAGAATAGCAATTGTTATAATTTCTCGAACGCGTCGAAAATCTAATAAACGCGATCGCACGATCTGAATGAGGGTAATGCATAATACACGTTGCGCATTATATATTTCTATGGGAGATAACGAGGGAACGTGTTGCTATTAAGTAATATTAGTTTCGTGCCTTCAATCGCGCCGCGACCACGAATGAAATTAAACCGTACGCGCAAGAAACCGCGCCGCGCTATCAGCCGAGATCGATCCCGAGCCCTTTTAATATACGAACGCGAGTCAAGCGGAACGACGACGATAGGTACAACGCGCACTCCGAACAAAGTGTGGTGTCGATGAATTTTACGAATATACGTATATCCGCGAAACGGGAGAGAAACAAAAGTTACGAAAGGAAAGGGAGATCGATCTCTGGTAAAGTTCCCTTTACTCGAGACACTCTTTTTTTTTTTTTTTTTTTTTTGTTTCTGTCGATCTCGATTACAGAGTGGCTCGTTTCCTCTCTTTCGCCCTGCAGCGAACGATCGCTCGATCTCCATAGCACGCTCTCTTTAAGTCAATGAAAGAATATCACGATCGGTATTTAAATGTATCGGTCTGTTACTTGTTACCAATTGTTTGTTAGCGGTTTTCGACTAAATCGCTCGTGACACTTAGCGAAGATCGGTATCCAGATTGGCAATGTGTTTTCTTCGTTGTGACAAACATAGAGAAAGAAAAAAAATACAAAACAATGCTTTAAAAAAAAAAAATTCATTATCTTGTTTCTTGCGTTTTTCTTTAATTTTTGTTTTTACAATAAATATATGAAATTAAACATCTTGTCGATCTGCTCCGATCTTCCCTTAAAATTTGTCGACACTGGATCGTAGTTTTCATTTTTATTTTTTTGTTATATTACGTTTTATTTTGTTACAGATGGTGACTTTTGCAAAAGAAGTATAGAGACCGCAGGCCTGCAAGTTTACGGTAGTGGCTTTTACAACAACGGTGCATCTATCTACGCATCTTGGATCACGACGGGAATCATGATGATACTTGGCACACTGTCGATGTTCTATCTAGTGCAATAATTCATGTCGCTGACGCATCATTGTTATCTGATGATGTACTAGGAATGACGTTAACGTTATTGCTCTGCCAAAATATATACCAAATCGCGCTATTAAATTCCTACAAAAATACAGAACGATAATAGTCAAATTATATCCATCAGGTCTGTTCATGGCAAATCTATACTCATTACTACTGCCAAACAAATATCGATGCTAACGGGCATTGTTGTATAGTGTACCTATACTTTCTATTACCGAAACAATACGCATTTCTTCCTAAATATATTCGCACTGTTGTGAGTTTTACGAAGTATTAGACGTAATAAATAAGAATATATTAAAAAATCGTGTACGTGAAAACATGTTGTATATGTCGTGTGAGTGATAATAATTATCATAAATCAATTTCTTTCTAATTTTATATCTTTCTTTATATTTCAGCAGCTCATAATTTACACTTTTGATGTAAGTTATTATTACTTCACCGTTGGTAAATAAAATAAATATATGCCTTTGTTGTAAACTTTGTTGGTTGAATTTTCTTCGAAGTGTTCGCGTATTACGTCATGAACGTTTTATTTATTCATTTTTGTTTTTTTTTGTTTTTTTTTGCACATCTGCGTGACTTCAATCTTGTGAACGCCTCAATTCTTTCGGGATTACAAAATCAAGGTTTAATCTCGCGTGGGTCAGGCATCCAATAGCGCGCGCTACTTTTTTTTTCAATAGTCGACACGCGAGCCTGTATTTATTTATTTTTTTATCTAAGCTATCGCACAAAAGAAACTCGTTACCCGGAGACTTTATTTTCGCATCCGTTGTCGGAAGAGAGGGAGATTGTTTTTTTATTCGATAGAGAAAGAAGATTTCTCAATGGAACGCGCCAAAGTTATTCGACGACAAAAGCTACACTGAACAACTCCCTTATCTTGCGTAATTGTAAGCCGGCGAAATCGTACCAGGTGAAATCGTGCTTTTGCTGTCAAATTACCAGCAAACTCAATCGGACCGCGCGCTTTATCCCTTGCCATTTTATTGCATCCTTTACCGCCGCCATTAGATCGCTCGTATTCTTTTTTAACAGCCATTCTTCGCGTATCATACAATGCCTTTCTAGTGGTTTCGACATTAGCGGGTCGTTAATGCGAATACCAATTTTCGAGCTAATTATATACGTTTCTATTGATACACATGCAATTACACTTGTAATTTCTTTGTTTGATCAAAGTTTTCTTATTTACAAATTATTATGAAAAATATAAATATATTTATTTTCTATTGCCTAACTTCTGCTCTTTAATTGGTCTTATGTAATTCTTTGAGTTTAATACTTTAGAATCTATTTCACAATTAATTTAATTTTATATTTCTTAATTCTGATTTTTTTTTTTTTTTTTTTTTGCTGCAACGTGCGTCAACGCACGTAAGACTCATATAGCTTTCACAAGCGGTGACAAGAGATTCCATTATTGTTTGCGAAGGCACGTCACTGAAACGTAATTGCACAAAGGTGGTCTCGGTGGTGTCCAGAAACTGGTCCGCCCGCGTCTTGCGTAACGCGAAGACGCGGAAATCGAAACCGCGGCGGGGGAAAAAGAAATGTTTGCGCCATCACAATGTGCAACCTGGCATTTTATCGCACGCGACCGGAAATATTTCTGATCTTATCACTTTTCGGCGAGAGAGACACGTAATCACCTTACGCACGTATTCACCGCGACGACGAAAGTGGAATATTTGATTGTAATACCAAACGTAACCGTAAACTTGACGATCCCACTTTACGTATAACAACTGTATTTCTTCATTATGTAAGTTTGCAATGTGTTTTTGCAATCAAGCAGCGTTTCTAAATTCCTGATAATTTTAGATAAATTGTCTGAGGAAATTTATACCTTATTGTTACTATTATTATTATTATTATTATTATTATTATTATTATTATTATTATTATTATTATTATTATTATTATTATGCATATACAGACATCTCTTTTGTTTTAAAAACAACGCAAAAAACACAGATCACGGATGTGATTTAATTTTGATCAAATTTGACGCAAGAGCGCTATAATTACTTTTATATAATTTTCTGATATCATTTATTCTATTTTTTCACGGGAATAATTGAAACCATCATAATCGAAAACTAATCAGTAGTAGGAGTTATTTCTCGTAGCAGAACGATATTCGTGATTCCATTTGCGACGGACCTCGATCGATGAGTTTAATTCGTTCCGACCACGTACATACGCCAGACCTCGAAAATACGGAAATTGACGAGCGCGTTTGTAAAGAAGTCACAGAATGTACGGAATTCAATTTAGATTGATCTACTTTATACGACGAAATCGTAGACTCGCAATTGAATAGCATCATGTTATTTTACGTTTTCTATGAATTCTATCTCGAAATTCTTACTTAAACATAGATATCACGAAAATTCCTCACGTGAACGAGATCGTTACTTACGGTAACATTACATCCGAAAAAACGCTATTCGTATTTCATCTGGCGCATATATATATAGTCCGATGTGCCGGTATTATAATCTCGGAAACAAGAAATTGATTCTCAAGAATGCGTAACGAGACACAGGCGCCAGTTGTCAAATATTCGAGCTCATTTCATTCTCGTTTTCTCCGACCGAGAATCTGATCAGGTATTTAAATGAACCTTTTAATGATCTTAAAGTGTCTTCACTGAACGTCCACAAAATAAAACAAAATGTTATCTTTAAACGTATACCATTACAAGAAATATAATTACAAAATTTGTAACGCAATTTGTAACGATTTAATTTATTGTGAAGATTAATATATGTAGCATGTATTAATAATACATATTGTCTGGTCCGTTTTCTTTTTCTTTGTAACAGAATAATGAAGTTTATATCATTAATAACAAATAAAAAATAACATTGAAAGAGATTTTTCTTACATTGATAACGGTCGAATTAATCACCGTTGAGATGGATTGAATTAACGAGAGGGAGATAAATCTCTCGGATCGGAAACTTGTCCGGTAACGAACCGGAATAACATAGCCGGCTCTCATGAGATATATGGTTTGGCGATCTGCCCCAAAACTGGTCCAACCAGTTGCGTAATCGGAAGACCGAGAAGTCGTGCCTTTCCACAAAAAGACGCACAATAAGAGTCCGACTGACTGGACGCTACTCTCGTCCACTTTCACCGTCAGTCGCGCGCGGTGATTTTGCGTCGGGTTTTAGCCAGCGCGATAAACCATTGGAATATAATATTACCGATCGGAAATGAGCGAGAAAAAGAAAAAAGAAGGGAGAGAGAAGAGGAGAAAAATATGCGCAATATCTTGGTTGGTTGCTCGAAATCGGATATAATCGGATATAATTGAAGCTTCCTTTCAAAAAAAGAAAAGAAGCAGCTTTGCCAGACGATCTTGTTGTACCGGCCGAAATCATCTGTTACGAAATTTATGCGTGAAAGCGATCCGGAAAGTAGATCGAGACTCGGCGATGTGTCGATATTGATACGGTTAATGTTTTATAGATCACAAAAAAATCAGCACATTGTATTACGCAGAAGTTGAGCAATTTGCGTGAAGCACGGGCGATGACGAAGCCAGAGAGAGAATCGAATTACGTCACGTATCGATCGTGCGGAATTATACATGCATCGAGAGCTCGCGCGAGACAGATGACACAAGACGTATCGGATATCAATGGAAATCGATCGTGCGTGTACTTTCGGAGCGCGCGTGTAGAGCGACTTTGTGGGATTTTGTTTCGAGACTATCGGTGAAAGTGATCAAATACACAAAGAGATGAAGCGAGCGATTATAAATTAAGAGAATTTGGGCACATCTATCTTTCGAGCGTTTTCTCATATTTGCATAACATGATATCTTAGTAGCAAGACGGAATACATTATCAAACAGGTTCGGAACATTGAATTTTTATTAGATATTTAGCAATTTATTTATTTATGTTTTTTTGTTTGCTTTTCGCTGAAGGTATTTGAAAATTTTAGATTCTCCAAATGAGCGCAAACGTGATCGAAATGTGTCTTTTAATCCATTTGCATTTCACACGTAAACCGCGTATCTCGCAAAAAAGTTGGAAAAAATTTCAGTATATACGTGAGTTTACCAATTAATAACAAATTCGACATCAAATGCTCGTAACGTCACGAACACCGCAATTGTTCGGTTTCACTTGTCAAAACATTTACATTGTCTGGGAAAGCGCCGCATCGCAGTTAACAGCATGACAAATAGCGGGAAGTATACGAAGAGATATAATGAAGGTTTTCTGCGTTTTGAAAGGTGCGCTTTTGAGAAACACGCCGCGGCGGCGCGATCGTTACAACGATCGCGAAGACTATTACGTCGGCGAAATAAACTCGGGGTCAACGATATCTTCTAGAATAATATCTGGCATTACTCTGGCTGGTAATGAGGGTAATTATGATTAGTGTTGTTTCAGTGAAACAATGCCGTGGGTCTTATGCAACGCGAGACATAGAGCGGCACCAATGTCACTGTCTCGCGCGATCAGGTCGCCGATTTATACAACATCAACTTAGTTGATGCGGCGTGTTGATGCCAAATCGACAACGCCATTTAATTTAGTTTTCTTTTTTTTTTTTCGTGTCAACTTTTTTATAGAAATTTTATTCGAATACTAAATTACATAATATTTATTTTTACGAGTTGTCTCTTTTTTTTTTTAATTTTACACAATATTCTTCTGCTTCTTTTCTGATTGTTTTAACTGCGCGATGCCTTCCGTTATTCTACCACGTTACGGTGTTTGATGAGCATGCAAAATTTTTGCAATCCCACTGCTTTCTATTTTCCATACCCAAATCTCGTATCACGCAACGGTACGACTTACGAAATTGAGCGTTTTCTGATCAAAGTTTTCAGTCCGGGCACGGTAATAAACAACGCAAAATATTATACGTAATCATTATGCAATTCCGTTGTTTCGTTTACTTCCTATCGATTCGCAATCGAAATCTGTCGTAGAAACGGATGCAGAATTGCACAAATTCGTCGAAGCGAGGTCTGTTCGACGTCTCTCCCAGGTAACAATCTCATCGATTGTGTATTATTTGTAAAACAAATTATCAGTCAACCATCTCTTTCCGAGGTGCGCATCAGCGAACATTTTCAATTACAATTGCGCGGAGATATTCTCGGTGTAATTATTGTTGAGCAATCCGTTTCCGATGATCGGTCACATCGTTGTTTGTGGCGCAAAAAGTCGCTAGTTCGTAAAAGAACTCTTTAAAGAACAAAAATCCAAGAGAAAAAACGGAACAGATGTTATTTCTAACACAGCCGCTTCTCCTTTCGGCGGCAGCTTGTTTATTCATTTCGTGGCAAGGACGAGGAGAAGTTGATCTAAATGCCACGGGCGAGAGCCCCGTAGTTCTCGGCCTCGTTTTCTTTCTCCGATTACTCGGCCAATCGCTGTGCTTAATTATAATATCGCGCGAGAAGAGGCTCGACAATCTCATCTCGTTCGCCAATAATAACCGGCCAATAAAAAAAAAAACAAATTCTCGTCGATGTACACGATTGGCTTCGACAGATCGCGTACTCGTAGTGTTGTAATTGTTTTTTTTTTTTTTTTTTTAGAAGAAACACAATATTATTATTTTCACTTTTTAATTTATTTGACTCTGTTTTATCGAGTGAAAACTTTTTGTTTTATTTCTGTCTTGTTGGTTGTACGAAATTGAAGAGTCGCGATACGGTGTCGATCCGTGTGTTTACAATTGATTTCGCAATGCAAATAGACGGTAATTAATTCCTATATACGATATACGCCGCTTCGTTGTGTTCCGTAAATTGAAAATATTTTTAAAACCCGGATATTTGATTCTCTCGGCGGTGTATTAGCGAGCAACGACGCGCGATTTCTTGCGTGATTTCAAAATTGCGACGTCAATCGACATGTAATCGCGATCCTCCGCGACGCGTATCTCAGCTGACTCCCCGTCGCCATTAAAACATTCACATTAATTAACTTGTTTCGGTTTCTATCAAATAAAACGAAATTTAATTGGATTATCATGCATATTTATGCGCTATTTATATCGGAGTTGACGGAAATATCCTTAAATTAATGCGATGACAAATACAAGCTACTGTGCATAAGAATGTAGTTTAATCAAACTTACGAAAATTTTCGTGATACGTGACACACATGTAATTATGTCAAGATTGAACCAAGTTTCTTTCCAAGCACTCGGATGAAATACACGAATGGAGCGTTTGCTGCAACGAGAGAGAAGAGGAGCGCGCTCTCTCTTTCTTCTCTATAATTACTAATTACTCTATTTAGTAGGATGTTGTTCAGCGTTGTGCTGGATTAAGCGGTCGATGTGCTTCGAACGACGATCCAACTGTAAGCTTGTATCTATTGCGTGCCGCGAGAACAAGAGGGAACGCTGTGAATTGCCCTCCCAATCATCTCATTACACGAGAGTCTGCCTGCTCTCGACTATTCCGACAGACAGTTCTAAACTCCGGCTTTCGCCTATCTATCCATTCCTTTCTTTACGTGCGATGCCATCAGTCGTATCCGCATCCGACACATCTAGCGAAAACGAGAATGAACGTCAATTTCAACTGCGGGAAAGAGAAAAATGAGACGATGCAATATGCGATAACACAACAATAATATGCGATTACACAAATTGTTTCTAAATGTAAATTATAATAATGCAAAATAAGATATTTCAACGTTTCGCTTTGGGTTTGTGCAGCCATTAAGTTCTCGAAGTACCAAAATCTGATCGATCTATTGTTGCGTCACAAAAAAGCAGGTGAAAAAAAATTAGCACATTTGTTCGCGCAAGAGACAGAAAGTTTTTACTTTTTTTTGTTAGACCAAATAAGAACGCAGGAGAATCAGATTTCTGTTTCAACAGCCTACTTTTTCAAGAACGCCAATCGTTTCGTCATCTCTCGTCGCTTCGCACATCTCGTGCTCTTTCAAGAGACGTCGCATTCAGTTTTTCTGCGCGCAATATAGAGTCGGGCAGTGTCGAACTATGTTGTTATGCTCCGCTGGTGTCAACTCGCAATGACGCTTGGCCGGCTCGCAATGTCAATGTCTCCGCAGGATATCCGCGGATATCTGAAGTGCCAGCATGATGATACCGCAACTGTCTCTCTTCGAACAACGAGAGAACCCTCCGTACAACTTCCGTCCCCTCTAGACGAACACATCCCCCCGACCTCTCCTCACAGCTTGGTTGCCGTCGTTGTCGGAGGGTCGGAGTTCATTGTGCCACAAGTGCATACTGAGTGCCGGCAACGCCAATTGCTCGTTACGAACCTGAGGCCAGTTGCGAATCGCTCTGTGAAAGCGACAGTGACATTTCCCGGAGCGAGGGCTTGGCCCTTGCAATACAGTCTCGAGTAGTAAAAACGACACAGAATCGTGCACGTATCTCTCTGTGTGTATCCAAGAGAGATGATACGACATTCTATGTTAGAGTAGGAGCAGTTTATAAGCTACACTCTCATTGTCTACTTTTTTGGTTTTTTTTTCTTTCTAAGAAAGACATATGACGCGAACAAAAGTGCAAATCTCCGGACTTGAATGAAAAAGCAACATGTGTTTTCGACGTTTTAATATCACCATTGCGTCGTTATGTGCGATAAAAAATACTGTTTTTGCACAATAACAAAAAACTGGTTTTCATTGTTCAAGTGTCGTATTCTGTGTGATTTTCAATGAGATTCGCAAAGAAACCGATGGCGATTGAGAATTAGCGTGAAAGTGTAATACGCAAGTATAAGGCGCCAGGAGCTGTGAAATTGCTTATATTTCAGGACATTCATTTGTCAGATTATGTGAATTATTTTGCAGGTAAAGTTGACAACATTTTTCTTTTTGTTCACCCCTTTTTTTCACACATTGATACACACTTGTGTAGCAGCCCGCATGACATGCTCACTGAATGTAATTAAATTGCAAACTAAAGTACGATAATTTATTATCTATATAGCCTTTATCTTTTTGCAAAATAACACTCTCTTTTTTTCTTATGTATTAAAATTTTATTTTCGAAGAAACTTGTGTACAAGAAAAATAACAAGTTGAAATGACTATTGGATGTAGTTTGTACAGTACATAGCCGGAAATACTCGATGCAAGATACACAAATGTCCCCTCAAAGTAATATTCTCTAAAGGAAGTATTAACTGATTTCAATTGGTCAATCGTGATCCGCGCTACAAGTGCGACATTTAATATTGAATACGCGTCAAGTGTAGATATTAAATATATGTCTGATACACGCAGTGGCAATGCAGATGTTGCACAGAAGATATTGAACTCGAACCTTTAGACAATTGAAGTAATAGTTTCTTCTTTTTAATAAAAATTGTTTCAAAAACATTAAATTTAACTCACAATATCTTGCTTCGTCGCACAATCATCTTTGTGTACTACATTAGCATATTAAATGTAAAAATTTCTCTTATTTTACATTTTGCCGATTTTACCAGTTGTAAGAAAAATAAGAAAAGAATATTTGTTTTAGATCCCAAAACTCTTTTTGAAATGAGTGTCTCGAAGATCTCGCGGATCTTCTTCCTGGTGACGGCCTTTGAAATGATGTCATTTTCTATCTCACTGACCGGAGATAATGTGTGTTCAAGAATAGAAAAGTTAGTATTCCACGCAAAAACAATTATATATAATTGATACGTAATAACTTCTGATGCCATTAAAAGCGATAACTTGGATAACATTTTCTCTGCCGTGTTATATGTATATATTATGTAATCTGTGACATATACTCGAAGAGAGACCTTTACCTATAGACCTTGACAATGCGCAAAGTGGCACGCGTAATACCGTCACATATATCATTATTATGCTCGCACCTTGCCACCTCGGCATGCCGCGGTAAACTCGATAAGGGAATCGCGCGAGTCTGGTCCCGCGATAGCTAATTGATCGTACATTACAGTTACACGGTTACGTTGTACGAGATTTACCACGAGCCGGTCGTGGTCAACACGTTCACTTGGTGTTTACAAATTCCCCCAAGATGCCTCAAGACACGAACCGAACTGCGACAACGTCATCGTGTGAAGGTACGTTTCATAGACTACTTGTTGCTTACTTTTTTTTTTTTTTTTCCTTACAGTTTATAAAACTCGGCTTTCGCATTCGACGAGATGTGAAACAATATGTCTCACAGAACAGAACTCTCGGCGTCGAGAGAGTTTGATTTCTCCGGCAACTTTGTGTTCACTTACATACGCGAATTATCTACGCACGCAATCTCGTTAATTTTATTGCCTATCCATCATCAGCGAATTTTGCGGCAGCGCTACCGTTGCCGAAGTTTCGCAAGTTCTCGCACACGCCGTGGAAAGGAACGTTTTTCCCAGACTGCTCGAAGGGAAAGAAAACACGCCAATCTTGCACAACAAAGAAGTTTGCGTAGTAAGTGCGTAAGATCAGTTACGCGGAAGTCTCGTAACGAACGAACGAGTGTATTCTTTGTGTCGAAAAATTAACAACTTTTTTATTCGATAAAGTGCCTGTTTAAAACTATCCTACCTATAGACGTCGTGTATCATAAATCATTTATTCAGCAAACATAATGCATAGATACAATCGCACGCTATGATAAGTTGGTAGTATGTACAAGACATACGTGTAGAGTTCTCAATAATAACAAAACAATATTTATCATTAAGATATATCGATTAAAGTAAAAAAAAAAAAAATACACTTTACAAAAAGTTGTTGAAGAAAAGATATACACACTCGCGGGACAATAGATCCGTAATTTATTCGAATGCCATGCGATTGCATCGCATAGACAGGTTACATAAACTCTCATTTCCACGCCTCGTTATGGAAAAGTGTCGTTTCCCATGCGGCGCGAATGGAAACGCCGATCGACTAGCAGACACATAACAAGATACACCTCGCACACGGCGAGGTATATCCTAGGCGATAAATCGCGCTCAACGCCCTATACACACATATAAAGAACGCAATAAAACAACCTATTCTTCCGTTTTTGCTTCTTGCTTCTTTGTCCTTGTTCTTTCTTTCTTTTTTATCTCTCTCGAACTCTCAGAAGCTGCGCCGATCCGAGCTAATTGCGGGGAAAGTCCGCATTAACAGATCCCGTCTGATTAAGTAAGCAAATAAATAAAAAGTATGCGCGCGTACACACGAGAGTGCGTTGGTGCGAGGAAAGAAAGAACGGTTGCAGTCGCAGTCGCGGTCGCAATTACGCGCTGTGAAATGCGGAATTGACGAATCGCGCGCCGAAAGAAGAGAAGGAGGAACCTGTCCCGTCTCTCGCGCGATTACGAAACGCAATCCAGAAGCGGGCCATTAGCTGAATAAGACCTCGCACGACTTTGCACGGCATCTCGGCACCTCGAGAAAGGAAACGCCCGGAAGTCGGCAATTTGTGAAACGCTCGACACACACGTTGCATCGCGAGGTTGTCGACGCTCGTATTGTCGATTTTCGCGCGATAATGAGACAGTTCCTCTGCAAAAAAAAAAACCCCCCATATATACTCCTTGTGCAATAAATACTAGTATTTTTTTTTTTTCAACGAATACGTGCTTAATCGCGTCATAAATAGTAGCGGGACAGACGAACGAGCATTTGAGAAATTTTGTTTGCGCGATCGATTGTATCTCGCTGCGATTGCGAGACGAGTGTGCGCGCGGTCAGATCTTGCGCTCGGCAATTTAACGAGAGATCGACATCGAATCGCGATATCGCTTCAATTAAGGCATAAATTATCCGAGGCGCGGACGTAATAAAGTCAATGCGAAATCTCGCGTTGATTTACACTCCCGCCGGGCGCTCGATAACGCGCCGTACGAAAGCGAGTGTGACGTTTAACGATGATGAGACGTGACGTATACGTCTTGTAAACAGGATCTCAAGCAACCGAGAAACTCTTAATTGATGTGTAAAAAGTATCACGTGTCACCGGACCTAATAAGTTACTTTTGTAAATTTTGGGGAACATCATCATAGAATACATTAAAATTGTTAATTTAGATTGCGGATTTAATTTTGTTTTTCTGTCAAAGAAAGTTTATGTTAATTATATCGCATTTATTATTGTTGCAAAATGCGTGTCAAAATTATTGCGTGTTTTTTTTTTTTTTTTTGACAAAGTATTCGAGAAACGAAAAATAAAAGAGATGGAGTTCTATTTTTTGAAGAATATTATTTAGAAAAAGCAATTTATTGATACATGTGTTTTACATAAATTTACAAGAAGAAGCGTGTATTGTAATAAATTTGGAGTGAGATTGAAAAATTTCCATTTGTAAATGGCACGAGTCCTTGAGACTTACTTAAATCTACGTGTCGAGATATATATCTTCATGTAATAAATTTACACAAAATCACATAATGAATTGGTAGCGAAAAATTATATAGTGTTTACAGTCGAATTTTCTTCCACAACTTTACGTTTTTTGATTCGTAACAGTCGAGTTGTGCATGGGAGAAACTCGCGCTTTCTCATAGGATTCCTATGACAGTCGAACAAATCGCTCCTCTCTGCCAATTAGATTAATGAGGTCTCAGAATCTCGTTCGGCTTTTTAAAATTTGTGCATACTGCCACGTTTACGTTCGCGAATCGAGGACTCAGCCGGAAGTGAAATGATCTCTCGAGCTCATATTGCACACGCGTTACGTAATCGACGTATGTACAATACCGTTGTGTATAACAGCAAAGTCGAAAGAGAACGATTAGCCTAAAATGGAAAATAGTGTATCGTGCGAGATTCATTCCCGCGCGCATACGAATAGGTACGTGCTAAGTGGAACGTAGGCGTATGTTCGTGTATATGTACATACGGTGAGACATTTGCGCGCGACTTACTACGCGGACAATAAACTTATTTCACGGAACATCTGAGAAAAGGGAAAATCTCATCGTTACCGAAAGTGCGTCATACTATATATCTAATTATCACATATCCAGTTGTTAGGCAAATGTTTTCTCTTCTTTTATTGGTTGTGTAAAGCGAATAAACAATTAATTATCTCGGTAGAAAATGTAATAACATAATTTCGCACGTGTTTTGATCGACTCAACTTGCAAATAAATTAAAATGTCTATCACGAAGTCAGGAACTAATATAATGGTCTATATGACGCAATTAATAACTTCCAAATATAATTAGCAATCACGAGTAAATTAAATATCTTATAAAGAAAACCTCGTTTTTCTTTATTTATTATTGCATAAAAGTTTCACCTGTCTAACATCAACAAGAATAATTTTGTAATTTAACATTTTTTGCATTTAATATAATTCTTTACAAATAAATCGCGAGAGTATAAAATCATGTATTAAAATTAGAAAAAGAGACAGAGAGAAAGAGAAAAAGAGAGAGAGAGAGAGAGAGAAAGAGAGAGAAAAGAAAGGGCCAACCAAACTTGTTTAATTACTTCCGCTTTCTCTCAAGAGATATTTGAAAACTTATTTGCATAACGTGCTCGCGTAATCAGCAAACGCTGCTGTAATCTCGACAGCTCTTAGCTTTAATTAATCGAGATCAGTAATGCTAATAGAATCAATTTGCTTACTATTGCTATTTATTACTTATATTGACCTATTATACTTGGAACTTTTTGATTTTCATCGCTCCTTATACACAGTTGTTACGATACAAGAATATCACACGCAATAGCTTTTTATCGCCAACTGTTGTTGCCAATCTATTTATCGAACTCGCGGATCTCAACTTACTGAATCATCATTTTTTATGATTTCACCTGAGTGATCGAAGGTTTCGATTTATTAGCATACGGTATAAGTGCAGGTGTTACACCGTCATCGTGAAAACGCGTACATTGTAAGAAACTGGTCTCTTTTAAAAGACAGTGCGGACTGCTGAGTGTAGGTGCGAAAGTAACGCTTGCTTATGGTTTCGCATCGGACGTATTCTTTCTGGACGTTAATGAACGTGCGAACCTTGTAACACAAAAGTGTAGCAGTTATTACGTAAGCAATGAAATAACGTCGCCAGCGTGAAGAATCGCGCGAATTATTTTTCCAATTCTCTTCATTGAGAAAAAATAAGCAGCTACTTCGCACGCAGCAGACGACCGCAATTACCGATCCGAGAAGAATGAAGAATAAACTCGCGAAAATAACGCGCTGCTAATTACCCCCGATCGCTGGAAATTGCGCAGAAAAATTTGCAAAAAGTGTGAAGCAACAAGTCGTAAATTTTTGAAAAAAAATGTGGGAAAAATTTATGATTAACGCGTTCGTTTGCAATCGAGATAGAAAGGATCGGTGTTAATGCGATATTCCTCAGAGAGATATCTCTTGGCATAATGGCACGGTTGATTGCAGATTTATCACTGCAATGTCGTCTCAAATTAAACAGAAAGTGTTTGAGAAAAAAATGAGAGCAGAACAACATGTAATGAGCGAAAATTGCCGCTGGACAAGTCGAGGTCACTCGGCATTTTCTACGCTACGTTAGAAAACGACTGAATTACTCAACTTTTGAGTAATAACGCGCGTACATTAGACGCTTGTAAATAAAAAAAAAACTTTTGAATCATTCATGCTTTTGATGTAAATCGAAATTAAATTGTTGAACTTTGTTATTATCCAACGCGGATTCGCGCGTAGATGTATCGTCGAAGTGACATTATCTGACATCGCGAGATTTTTGAAGTCGATAAAATCGATCAAAGTGCACACGGTATAACGAAACAACTGCACAGGTCCGGTGCAATGTAATTAATATAACTCTCGCGCGCGTAAGAGGATCTTAATGCGCAAGCGAAAGGTTCGTTCTGAGAATTATTAATCACGCCAGTTACGGCATTTAACGGGAACAAAAAACTCTTGTTGCCCTCAGCTTCCAGTGAAGCATCTGGTAGCTCGCTGAAGACCTATTCGTTGTAAATATGAGAAATGATATATGAGAAAACACACATGCGCGCACACACGCGCGCGCGATGCTCACGGAATATGTTGTGTCTCATCATCGTTTACCTTAATTTACAAGTGAAGTTACATGCGGGCAGAAAGATAAAACGAAATTACAGTAAATAATAATAACACTCAAAACGCAATAAATAATAACACGCTCGGAGATACTTATTAATAACCAAGTGTAACTGTGTGGTCAGGTTTTTATGGGTGAACTTCAATTAATAATTCGATATCAAAAGTTCACCGTGCAAAACTTTACACGAAAAAAAAAGATTTGCTATTATAGCTATTGAAGTTTTTGTTTCATCGACGAAACGTTTTGTTGGCAACACAAAAATTGTCAATAAGTTTGGCAAACTTTTTTTGCTGGCCGTATAATTTATTTCTTGCTATTTTAGCAAATCTTGTTTTTTTTTCTTATACAGTTTTGCAATTTATATGTCATCCACTCAAAAAAACTTTCCGTATGTAAATTAGATTTCGTAATGTTGTTGAAAATATTTAAAACTAAAAGAAAAAATTGACAATAATTGTCTATATAACATTATATCATGTCATCAGAATGAAGCATTCACGTTGTATCACAGTGAAAGTGGAAGAAAGCGTTCGAATTTCACGACGACGAAGTATATCAATCAATTTGCATATAATTCGGTTTTTACGCATATTAGATATCTTATTTTCGCGCTTTTAAACGTACGCTATAAAGTTATTATCTTAGTTTACGGCGCGTTGAATGTCCGAGTGAAAAAATTAGAGCGTAAAAATTCTGCGTAATAACATGTGTTAAAAATGCGTACAGGATTTTACTATCTCTGGTAATTAATTAAATATAGTGAGGAAACGCAATTATTCGGGGCTACCGCAAATAAGTTTAGACGAAATTTGCGTGAAACGATCGCTTCGCAGCCGTGGATGCGGTGAACGGCGGCGAAATGTAATAACGTTTGCATAGAGAAGTAAAAGGAATGATATCGACGCTTACTTTATGATCGTAGATGGTGATTTTTACGCACGTGTATCTCTTCGCGATCTTATAAACAGCGTGTAACTTATATATTACATTCAAGTTTCTTTGATACTCTCAAGTTTCGTAATAGTTGTCCTCATTACTTATGTAAGAACTCGTTTGTAAAATAGCAACTAAAAAAACATTAGATGTACACATGCAGGAAATATAGAAGGAGAGAACTTGTGCACAACACACTGACGTGCGTCAGTTCTTCAACTTTTTTAGTAGTGTCGTGCAAAGCCTCTTTCGTTTCCCTCACCGCATTCCGCGCCAGTGTTCTCACTTTTACTCTCGCCACTGATCGGAATCTCATGCTTTGGAGAGTGAAATAATGATCATCTTATCTCCGGAATTCCTTCTTGAAATTGGAGTCGTTGGTGAAATCGTCTTCAAGGTAGAAAATATCAGGACTAAACTAGGCATCTCTGATATGTATATATATATATATTATACATATCATATTTATGTAATATTTGGTTATATATTTTTGTCTTAATAATGCAAATATGTGTGTCGACCTATTTAATATATTCTAATTATATTATTATCGACGATGAAAACATTTTAAAATAATATAATTCATACATTAATAAATCATGTAAGTAATCCAATCATCTACCAAACTAAACAAAATTAAAATTTATAAAAATTAATTGACAAAAAAAATAAAAAAAATATTTTTTAAGTTGTTTACATTTTTGCCATTTCTAAAAATTATTCAACTTCTTTAAGTCTGAATTAACAAGTCGAAGTTTATCGAAGTTTGCGCAGTCGAACTTCTTTTATAGGCCTCTTAAACGAGACGTAAGCATGTAATAAATATACTATGTCGCAAATTTCAGACAGAACAGAAATCGAGAACTGTAAAGGAATGTTGCGAAGGATACAAAATACAGATTCACGATGATCCAGAGATGAATGCGACATGTATACCGATTTGCGAGAAATGTCTAGCAGGAACGTGTGTCGCGCCGAATACGTGCCAATGTGATCCTGGATATTACGATGATAATTGCAGTCTCGGTGAGTCAATAGTAAAATCAGATTCTTAATTATTGTTTTGTTGAGATATTACTGCTACAAAAGATAGTTTATTATAAAGAATTTATTATAAAGAAATAATATCAATGTAGAATATTACGTTTTCATTGCTCGACAGATACGGTTATTTTTGAACAAAAAATAAGTCAGTTTTCTTTTTAACATCATTTTTGACACTTATAAAAACACATCTCGACAATGATATAGTGAAAAAAAAAAAAAAAGAGAAAGGCGCTTATATTTAGAACGTCATTAAAGTGAATTTCACGGATATTTGCAACAGACCAGTATTTATCAGACCAAAGGAACAACATTTTCAAGGCTAATTAGACGCTAATGAATTCTTGACATTTAAAAAAAATTTAAACCACGGCGAATATACATGCAACTGTTGCTTATACAGGTAACTGTTACATATATGTGTAACATAAATTAACACTTTAGAGAAAAAATTTGGAGGTCGGAATAATTAATTAAAAATTAGTTTCGAAACAATTCTCGATCGAATATAGTATTCAGGTTACAGAAAAAAAAGAGATGCTTTGCTCGACGATAATAAAACGGCATAAACAAATATAAATCGAAAATGAAAAACTGAAAAAATAGCAGCGTTTTTACAAGAAATGTTACGCTCGATGAAACAGACTGACCTTCCATAAATCGCGAAGACGCACATATATGAAATGCCTCTTTCTAATAAATACTATTTTCACACGATCTCAGCGAGCATGATTTTTCAGTTTTGCACAATATATCTTGTTAAAATCTTACATATCGTTGCAAAACGGCGCGTTCACGATTTCTGTAAAACATTATCACAAACAATTAATTAAATCTTTATTCGTAGCAATAATTTGGATTAATTTCGTTCTTTTTTACAGCATTTAAATTTCTTTAGTGCTTATTAATATTTAGTACTTATTACGTAAACACACTCTAACCTTTCTCTTACATTATATCTTAATAAAATTTTGTTTATCAGTCTATTGAGGTTGTTGTTATGCGACCGTGATGTTATTCCGTAATAATACATCATTAAACAAACAAAATTATTATTAAACAAGCAAAAATCTCGCAGATTGCACTCAATTGTTGCGTCAATATGATCGCTTCGAAAGTTGCGGAAGCCCGGAAGTTACGAAGTCGCTTACTTTCCCGCTCGGGAAGGTCGTGGACAACGAGCAGTCGATCAGATACGACACATGTCACATCACATAATACAATCGCGACATCAATAATTTATAAAAAAAAAAACGCTCGCGATGTATGATAATTATCTGTCTTACAAATACAATTTAGTACTCAATTCAACAATTCGTGAGGAGAGAGGGAGAGAGAGAGAGATAGAAGAGAATTTTAAATTGTGTTCATAATTTACATAAAAATTTATTCTGCACACGCGTGTTTTCCCAATGAAAATTTGCATTGCGTGACAAACATATTTTTTTTTTTTAACTGTAATTTTATGTCAATATACATATTACTAAGAAAAAATTTTATCACGCAGAATGTCCGCCCGGATTTTGGGGTATACAGTGTATGGAAGTATGCGACTGCGATGAGAGATACGACTGCGATCGCGTAAACGGCACTTGTCATTGTTCTCCGGGACTACAAGGACCCCAGTAAGCATTGAAGATTCGTCATAAGCAAAGTTCGCAAAGTGACGAATAACTTGAACAAACGCGACATTATTATTAAATCGAATAATTAATAGTATATACAGAAAGATTAAATATTAAATCAAACAAAATTACACATAACGCACGCTTTGATTCCGCAGATGCAAAGAGCATTGCGCAATTGGCCGATGGGGATCGGGTTGTGTAAACAAATGCACGTGTCAAAACCAAAATAACGACTGCGATGCAGTAACCGGAAGATGCACCGACGACGACGCCTCTTCAGTCCAACAAACGTCGTCCGTTTATTTGCTAAGCTCTACTACTGAGCGTATGCAAACACCCGGAATTAGTAATACGGAATATACAGATGTTTCCTCTGAGCCGCGCGACGTTACTGAACACCAAGCGAAAGGTGAAATAATAAATTTGATTGCGCAATCGAAAATATGGACATTACTTTTTGACGCTTTTTAACTCTTTTGACACTTGTCAAAAAAAAACATGTGCTAATTAAAGCTTAAACAAATTACCTTTTACAGTATAATAATTATATAATAATTAAATTATATAACAAATATATATTAATCGTACATGACACACTCCGGCCGCATTATTTATCTCATTAATTGATTTATAATGTACGTAGAATCAAAGATTGTAGATAAAATTTAGTTTCGTGTGCAGATAACAGTGACAATCGATACGATACAAATTATATTCCGGAAACGACGAGTCCGGCAACAGCTTCAATCGCGGTTCCGAGAGCGACAACGAACGAGATGCGGATAAGGGATCCTCCAATGATCACTCAAATCGTTTCGGTTTCTGTTCCCGAACGCAGAAGAGACGTTGAGAGAGACAAGTTCGTGATCAAGGACGCCTTTCTCAGACACGTTCAGAACGACGAAGGTGTCGGTGTTCCGAAACTGGATTACGTGAAAACCGTTCGCAAAGGTATCATTTCGCGAGAAATTTTTAAAACTTCACGTTGACACACGTCTTGATATATTGCCTCGTCAGAACTAAAAATGTTAGAATAAAGATGAGTAGATGTTCTCATTGCCACGACAGACGACATTCAGACACCGGCGTCGATCCCGCTGGATGTCACGCTGATCGTCGTTGCCACAATCGTCTCTCTCGGTCTTACCTCGCTGGCGGTTGTTATGTTTCTTCACATGCGTTCCAAGTTACTTGAGACGGTTCATCTTGCGATCTACGACGACGAGAAAAACAAGGGTCAAGAATGCGAAGGCGCGAACGGCAAAAGGATGTCCGCAGTGATGAGCGCCAGTCTGCCACGTGAGTAACAAAGATTACGTTCACCTGATGCGCGACGCATCTGCTTTCTTCTTCTCGCTTCTTTCCTTTGAACGTCGCGGTGAAATCTGCGCGTCCTTGACTCCAATGTCTTGTAACCACGTAACGTAACCGTAATCTCGATGACCGCCATAACCAGCGAAATAGTGATCGAACGATATCAAGTCCATTGTGTGATCACTAATCAGCTTTCGTGAATCAATTTTTGGTGTATGTATATACTCACGTAGTTTTTTTTTTTTTTTTACTTATCGTAATTTCAGCACCTCCGATTCGCGCGAATCCCATATACACCAACGCAGAATCGGATACAATACTGACGGTCGACGGTATCGAATCGCTGAACACTTACGCTAACGGCTCCGCTACGATTGGTCTGCGAATTTCCGGCAATCTTCGCGGTGAGTAGTTTCACCCTATATTGTGTCGTGCGCGCAAATATATTTATATAATAAAAACAATTGTAAAGATTATTAAAAAAAAAAACGATAAGATCTGAATTAATAATAGAAAAAAAGATCTTACTTTTTCTTAACATAGAAAAAATTGTTTTTTTTTGTTTTTGCAGATCTATTAGATGGCCATTACGATCGGCCGTCAGCGACTCTGATACGTTTGCAGCCAAACTTCGATCATAATACGGAACATCTGTACGACGAAATACCGTCGCAAACCACTCCGTTATCCAATCGCAAAGATTTGTGATAAAAAAAAAATATTTATCATATTTGTTACTTTCATAAATAATTACAAATTTACATCTAGCAGTTGATAATATTGCGTGAAAATACGCGAGATACGTTTTTTGACAAAAAATCATCATGGATCTTGTAAAAACAAACAATCAATGAAAAGTCAGTCACACAATTCCGGAGAAAAACACACGAGAAAACTGGTTTCCATTACGCAAAGCTATTAAACTAGCAAGGTTGAACGAGACTGTAATCGGGAGTGAAATAAGAAATGTACAACTCGTTTAATGGTACCGTCAATAATCGCCAGCAGAATTTAACCGGTGAAGCGTGGAAACTTTCTGAATCAACTATATTGTAGTTTCGACGGAATGACGTCAAGAGCGAAAATACATCTGATTACGATCGTGCGCAAATGCGCAATTAGGTGGAAAGCGCAAAATAATAGAGTCTCGCGTAACGAGCGAGGAAAAATACGAGCATTCTGACTGTCATTATCCAAATGATACTAAACGTTTATATCGCCGACGCGTAAGCTACCTGCTTGGCGAGTGAACAGATGTGAAAATAAATTGTCTGGCAAATCTGTCAGTTTCGTTTAATGTCGGTGTAACTTACGGTATAACTGCGTTACGCGTATAAACTCATTGTTCATTTCTGTGTTCAGTTAACATTTCGCGATTTGAGCAATTACTTTGCATATATTCCCATTTGTCATATAAGTCATATACACACGTAATTGTGGAAAATCTTACATTGTCTCTTTTATAATAACATATTGAGATTTTCTAACAACATATTTTGAATGTTAAAGAAATTTTTAATGTCTCTAATTAATTTACAACAGACAGTACTTTTGTCATGAAGAAATAGCGCTCTATTCGCGCCTATCCGAGATAATACTATGTTTTTTTTCAAACGCATACGCGTATGTCAACAATAATATGAAGTAGGTAATAATTTACTCAATTACATAAATTTCTCATGAAAGAGAAAGTATACTTACCTTAATTATTTTCATGTATTGTTTATGTGTGTGTGTGTGTATGTATGTTTGTGCGTGGATATGTATGTATGTAAGTGAAACAGTAAATATTAAACCAAAGAACTTTTCTCTATTTAAAATGCATGTAATATATTTAGAAAATATGTTGATAGGAATTACAGTGTGTGTGTGTGTGTGAGAAACTCTATATAAGTTATCTATTATATAATAATTTAAAAATCAAGTTAATTGTAAAACCAAAAACATAATGTGATGTTACATTCACATTATTTTATGTGAGAAAGTTAATGTAATTTCATGAACTACAATTTGTTTATGTAACCCAAGTATCGTCAAAAAAGAGAAATAATTAATATCAAACTACGTTGTAATCTCAAATAACAAATAAAGACATTTTACACATACGTCTCCGATCACAGAGAAAAAGAGAAAACTTTCCATCCTTACGTCATTACAATCTCAATCTTATGCGTATCCGTTCAATTAAGTAAAAAAGAGAAATATATTTTGTGCAGTAAGTACGTGCAATTCGGTTCAAGGAAATTTGTAGTCAGCTTTAACTTATCGTAGCTAGTAAGTAAATAAAACGCGTTGTCCGCACATTTATCGCATTTAACATATTCACGCGCGCCGTCTCATTATCGCTCTTCGCATTCGTTCTCGCAAAAGATAGCTCAGATTAAATAAAAAAAAAAAGACGAGAATGTTATATATCCAATTCGCAGTAAACACGCGAATGTATATACAATACATATGTACAATATTAAAGTAAGATACATACATATGATCTTCGTAAAATAATTTATAATACTGAAATACTAATACTAATTTTAATACTAATAATACTAATTTTATAATACTGATTTTTCAAAAATTCACACATGTGTCTTAAAATTATTATTTTGAAAAATCAAAGAGATTTTAATATCATATTGTGTACATATTTTTTACTACGGTAACCTTTTCTCTCTCTTTCTCTTCTCTTATGGATAACCTCATTCAGATAAAGCAGATAATAAAATCATTTTAATTAATAGCTTTCTCTCGCGTACGATAGTTTCGTACGTACGTATTTTATCTAATTTATTTACATGTAACTTACTTTCAAAAGACTATTTTCTACAAGTTTTCGTGTTTGACAAAATCAAGACAAATCTTGCATCAAAATTGTATATTATTTCCTAAAAAAAAAAAAAACTTTTAACTTGAGATTTAACTTTGTTGCATTATCTCATCTGCTTTTACTTTTATGCATACGCGATCAATAATCTATTCACTCGACTAAACCTGTGTCTAATGAGTGTCAATTATGGCCCAGTTAATAGCAATAACATAATCGGTAATTATAGATAAGAGTAAAAGTAGAATTAAACTGGCGCGCATGTACGCTTTAGCCTCATTAAGACTCTTTGACATATCGATACGCATAACCGATAACCGTTTCCGTGAACGAGTGTTGCGTAGTTTAATCAAGAGAAGATGAAACTCGCTGTTTGACCCCTGCGACATTCTTATCGCTTTGCGATTTCCATTCTCTGAAACCGAAAATAAGTCCCCAGTAGGAAATTTGTGATCGTTCATGCAACATGCAGAGATCGTTGATTTGTCTGTCGATCGTTTTTACGTGCCTGAGTGCTAGCATCTGGGCGCAACAAGGCGTAAAGGGTGGACACCGACCACGTCCTGCGAATGGAACTCATTATCCCACTACTAATTCCTCACAAAACGGACTTTGCTATAAAACATTGCCGTAAGTAAACAACTTTTTAATTCAAGACAAAAAAAAAAAACAAATACAGTCTTACAATTTAATGCAATGTTTTTGCGTGTTTGCTTATTTTGTATATAAGTTTGTTAAACACACATTAAATAAAAAATATAATATACTATAGTAAGCGAGAAAACATCTGTGTTTATTTTAGATACAATCATGTCTTGGCTCTGAATTCCAGTGGATTACCTTACAATACCATTCCTCACCCACTCGGAGGCAGTCATTCTGTAAATATATCAGCTCTCTCTTTCGCAGCACGCTTTGTATAAACGTTGTAACAAAACTGTCGTCGAATATTAATTTTAAACAGTCAAACAAATTAAATTGGAAAAACTCGTGTCACTTGAATAATTTTCTTTGTGTGTGAAGTGTCAAATATAGATACATTTTGTTTTGTCAGCGTGACAATGGTTGGATCACAATCTTGGACTGTTGTGACGGCTACGAGCGTAATACGACGAGCGGTCTGTGCGAGCCGCACTGCGATCGCGGCTGTTTCGGCGGTCGCTGTACAGGACCAAACGTCTGCAGCTGCGAGCCAGGATGGCGTCCCGAGGAGGGCGTTTGTATGCCCGTCTGCAATTATCAGTGTCAAGAGAACGCCTACTGTTTCTCTCCCGAGGTGTGCGTCTGCAAATTGGGCTACGACGAAGTAAACGGTCAGTGCCGACCGATCTGTCCCGACGGATGCAGAAACGGAGAATGCGTGGCACCACGTGTCTGCAGATGCAGACCTGGATTCGTTCAGAACGAACGCAAGGAGTGCGTAGCCGCTTGCGAGGGCGGCTGTCCACATGGCACATGCAGCGGGCCGGGTGTATGCACCTGTAACGAGGGGTAATTAACGTCTATCCGTACTTTCGAATAAACATCGCGACATAACTTCGCAATATTTCTCGCATCAGCGATATTCCGCGTAATAATTAAACGATCCGACACTCAATGTATATTTGCAACGTATTTTTAAGGCGTGATGCTTACGATATCATTGATAAAGTATTGAAGTGTATGTTTATTAAACGTGTAATATTGCGTTATATGTGTGATGTTACGTTACGTTAGAATTAATTATACACCTTGCTTGCATATAAATTAGCCGTTTCGTAACTTTCATTTTTGCGCAAACTTTTGCGCGGATTGGCGTTAAACATGTGTGTATTAGACGTGACTAATTTATGTTATATTGTTTTTTTCAAGATACACCAATCCTACTGGTGATCGCGAGTCCTGCGTTCCTCACTGTCCTGACGGTTGCAACGGTGGCGACTGCGTTTCTCCCGGAGTTTGTCGCTGCAAACCCGGTTACAATCGTGATCCGCACAGCGGCAAATGTAATCCGGTATGTTCGCCGAACTGCAACGGCGGCGAATGCGTCGCGCCGAACGTTTGCAGATGCAGTCCCGGTTACACGCGCGATCACACCGGCAACTGCGCGCCAGATTGTCCGGACGGTTGCGACGGAGGCGAGTGCGTCGCACCTGGTGTCTGCGACTGCAGACCCGGTTACACGCGTTACAGCGGCAGATGCGTCCCGTCTACCTCAGGCTCGTCGCAATGCGGATACGGATACAGACTCGATCCCGATACCGGCAGATGCGTACTTGCACCCACTTCTACCGTGCCGACGCAGGTCGATGATTGCAGATACGGTTGCGGTCCGAACAGCATCTGCGTTGGACACAATCTCTGCGCCTGTCAGTCGGGATTTTCCATCGATTCCGCCACCGGCAGATGCATCCCCTCGCCGACCTCCAACTCGACCTTGCAATGTAGATACGGTTGCGGAGCAAACGGGCGATGCGTTGCGCCAAACCGATGCATGTGCGATCCAGGATTTCGTAACGATCCTGATACCGGTAGATGCGTTCCGCAACTACCGGGAGGAGACAATACGGATCCCAATTTATGCCAGCATCAATGTCTAAATGGTCAGTGTACCGGTCCGAATGAGTGCACCTGCAATCGCGGATACAAGCACGAAGATCGAGACGTCACGCGTTCCACATGCGTGCCAGTGTGCGTAGGCGGGTGTCCAAACGGTGTGTGCACTTTGCCAAACTATTGCATATGCAATCCAGGATACCGTAAGGAAGCCGGCGTCAAAGGCCGGCAAAGATGTGTCCCGCAAGAATAAACACGCTGATAATAACACATCGATGATATTTAGATTAGTTCAGAAAAAGATGACTGGTTTCAGATAAATAAGATTTGTTACATTCTCACTGAAGAATATATGTATCTACACAACTTGATAATAAATTATAAAACAAAAACCATCCATTGCATATTTGCATATAATTTTGGTTCCCTTATTAATAATATTTTGCAATTGAAATTGCTTTGAATAAATAAACTGGTTGCTACGCACCACATTAATAATAACATTAATAATAAACCACATTAATAATAAATTGTCAACAAGAATTTTGCATCCTTGGCCTAGTAAGTCAATTCAAGTTTCCGAGGTTTGCTGAAGAAAATGCAAACATTCCATTTATGCACCGTTAAACATGCAAATTCAATTTGTTTACGACATAAAACAATTATGCATTTTTAACAGTACAACTGCGATACATCTTTCTAACGATATGTGCAAAGTATTTCATAACACACACACACACACAAACACACACACACACATAAACATTGTATGCAATATATAAATATAAACTGTATGCAATTTTTACAAAATTTAAAGCAGAACAGGAACCAGACAATTCTTGTAAATCAATTTAAATATATTTATGATATTTTTGATGTGTGTGTGTGTAATAAAAGATTGCTTAATAACTTTGATACCAAGAAATGTAAAACTTTATTTAATTTTGTATTAAATAAATATATATTATGTAAATAATATATTTTTTCTCAAATAAAATATTTATCATTATAAAAGTAAAGCATTCTCACTCATATGAATTTAATTGTTGCTGATTGACAACAGCTTGACAACATCCTGTTGGATCTTGATAATGAACTATAAAGAGGAAAGTACGCCTCAGTCTAATGAGCGACGCGATATGCGCTACACGCATTAATACGTTTTCATCAATTGTTTGCTCGAGAACGCAGTTTTATAAACTTAGCAATGAAATTTTTGCATATTTTATTTGTTCTTTTTTTTTTAAACATTGCAATATTGCTTGTATTTTCAGAACAAATAGAAGAGAAACATCCAGAAGGCAAATGTTCCAAAATAGTCAGGTAAAATTTTATTATGTTTCCCGTGAATCTCAGTATAAGACAATGCTCATTAGTTACGCACACTTTTTATTTGATGTGATATAAAAATTAAAAGTAAAATAATCATATTGATACAATTGCGCGTTGCTTGCAGTTATCGAGTGTCCCGAAATGTTCCGTATTTCGAAACATTTAAAGAAAGAGTACTTGGTATATTTTATAAAACAAACACTCGGTGGAATTACAGGATTGAGGTAATATTTCAGCGTGAAATTTTTGCATTTTGCGCAACATGTGCGATGAAATAAGATAATATACATAAATACTATATGTGTCTTGAAACGCACAGATGTAAATAAATAAATGTGCTTAGTGTGTACATAACAATATAAATTTTTGAAATATAATAAAACAATACAAAACATATAAGACAATTTTTCTTCTGTAAGAAAAAAATATTGAAGAGTGGATTTTTATAAAGAAGATATAATTATAAAAAAAAAGTTTTCGTAAAAGATTTCACTAATTTGAAAAACTCTGTTTTTATTCTTAGTACGCTACGCAATATCGCAAAGAATTCATATGCTGTAAGGGATACTGGATGAAAACTCGTTTCCTTAATTATATACTGTGTGAACCAGACTGTCCAAGCACTTGCAAACATGGCAGCTGCAGCAGACCAAACGAATGCACTTGCAACGAAGGATATAGTTATCCAGGAGATCTAGTAATGGATTCTCTCTGTGTTCCTGTGTGCACTCATACTTGCGTTCACGGCAAATGTATAGCACCTGAAGTTTGCTTGTGCGATCCCGGATATTCAATGAACTCTGTTACTCACACTTGCGAACCCGTTTGTTCATGTCCCGAAGGATCGTATTGTTTGAAACCAAATTATTGCGATTGTTTAGATGGATATGTTCGCGCAGATGCTGATGTAACCCAGGTAATTATAAGAAGAAAGAATAATCTGGGTTAATATTCTGAATCGTTATTTTGTGTTGAATCTTTTACGTGGGAATCTTACTTGATGTTACGACTCTAATAAAAATATTGATAAAAGTTGAAAAATTACGTTAATTGAATGTAACGCAAAACTAAGTTTTGTCTCAATTACAAAAAGTTGATAGCAAAAGATACGATTGTGGAAAAAAACAATACGGCAGCAGTATAATTAAAATAATAATCTTTTTCTCTTCCTTAGGAACTTGATCGTAGCTTATGTACACCTGTTTGCGAGAAAGAATGTGTCAACGGCAAATGCACCGCGCCTAATAATTGCACTTGCAATAGTGGTTATTACAAATTTGATTTATTTGATTCATTTGTGTGCATGCCCGAGTGCGACCACGGTTGCAACTTCGGCAAATGCACGGCGCCCAATGTATGCACTTGCGATCACGGCTACACTTTAAAAAGTCCGAGTGTGTGTGAACCAATTTGCAGCGAGGCTTGTGTCATGGGTACTTGCATAGCTCCGGAAAGTTGCGATTGCTTCAATGGCTATGGTCTACTTGAGAATTCGAAGTACACTTGCGTGCCGATCTGCGAAAAAATTTGTCTCAATGGCAAATGTACCGCACCGGATGTATGCACATGCAACAAGGGATTCCGATCAAGCGACGACGAGTTGGAGAAGCATATTTGCCAGCCTCAATGTGAGATTTCGTGCGAACCATTTGGCGTGTGTACTGCGCCGAATGTTTGCACCTGCTTTGACGGATATCGTCTGGCTGATAAAGCGCAAACTAATGAATCTGTAAGTAAATTTAAAGTTCGAACTTTTGGATTACAAGATCAAGTTTTGTTTCCAAATTTGTATATGTTTTCCCTCACATTATTTTAATAATGCAATATTACTCAGAAAAAATACTTTTCACAGGATATACAATATTTCGCTCGGTATGCACTTCCGGATAACTCGATATGCAAACCTGTGTGCGACGCAGAATGCCTTAATGGATTCTGTAGCGCTCCCAATACGTGCAATTGCTATTACGGATATCATCCGTCAGACGATAATGCCAATATCTGCGATCCCACATGTAGCCAGAATTGCGTTAACGGCTTCTGCAGCTCACCTGAAAATTGCACATGCAACGAGGGCTATCGTCCTTCGAAGAACACTTCTTTGAACATATGCGAACCTTTCTGCGAAAGCGATTGCATCAATGGATACTGCAGCGCACCGAACAACTGCACCTGCAACGCCAACTATCGACCTACCGAAGGCAATCGTACAAATCTCTGCGAACCCATTTGTGATCCCAGTTGCAAAAATGGTATTTGTATACGACCTAATGTGTGCGAGTGCAATCCGGGTTACAATCAATCGACGCACTCTACGAATGAGTGCGAACCTGTCTGTCACCCGGCCTGTGGAACACATGGAATTTGTGAAGAGCCTGATCGATGTGTTTGCGAAAACGGATATCGTATGGTTTACTACGACGACAAGAACGACACTTCGTTCGTGTGCGCACCGATTTGTAATATCAACTGCGGCAACGGCACATGCGCAGCGCCGGATCTTTGTGCATGCTTCGACGGTTATCAGAATGCAGAAACGGGCAGATGCGAGCCCGTCTGTTCGATGTGCAACAACGGCACGTGCATCGCACCTGATATCTGCGAATGCGACGACGGGTTTGTTCTTGAAGAAGCGAAAGTTGACATCGAGGTATCTGACATCGAATTATCTGAATTCAAAGACAGACAGGGCAATGGAAGCAAATGTATACCGTATTGCGAGAGCTGTGATAACGGCGAATGCGTAGCGCCGGGAGAATGTCGATGTCACGCCGGTTTCGTGAAGATCGAAGGCACTTGCGTGCGCGCGTGCCGAAGTGGTTGCGGTACTCATGGTAAATGCATCGACGAACGCAGGATTTGTGATTGTGATTACGGATGGACCGGTGCGCGTTGCGATCAACCGACCATATGCGTATCAATTTTACACAACGTAGAAAATCGTACTGATCAGTAAGTACAATATATGAATTCAATATAAAATATTTTCTATATTTTATATTTTTACTGTAATTGTGTATACTTAAATCAAAACGATATATAACAATAATTACAAAGCTTCTGTAATTACGTATTTAAATATTAGAATGCAATACTTAAGTAAGAATACGTCTCCAAAGTGAATAAATAAACTAGAAAAATAAAAATGTTAAATATATGCACAGGAACGATTAATTTGTTACCGTGACGTATTTGGAAAATGAGTATTGTTAATATATGAATAATCTGCGAATCATTTTTATGTTTTTATTTTCTTGCAGATTAACTATTGTCGAGGAACAATACAATGTCACGATCGGACAAATATTTATAAATAACCCAACATGTTCCCAATGCAGTGATAAAATAAATAATGAGACACTGTGTTTTAAAATGTATACCAATGACACAGAAGATGACACACGAATTGGTTGTTTAATAAATGCAGGTTTGTAAAGCACATTTTTTTTACGATATTTATAGAAAAGAAGACATATCTTATTTTACCAATTGAAAAAATCGTATTATTAAGGTTTTTTACATTATTTACAAAAAAACTATGTACATGTGCGAATTTTATTTTATTTTTGATATTATTTAGAATGTCTTGTATTAAGTCAATATACAGATCACAAGAAAATTGCCAAACTAAGTGGAATCGCAGGTGTAGGAATATTACTTCTACTTGGAACGGCAATAACAACATATATATTACTACAAAAACGTCGAAATAGAGAAATGGGTATTGTTATAGACTTTTATAGTATCACAAATTGTAGATATATTGTATTGTGTTTATAATATACTCTTTTTCTTTTTGTTTCATATATTGTCTCTTGATTTTGAACACAATGACACATACAAATCACTAACAAGTCACTAACAAAATAATACACACTGGTAACTACATTATATTGTTTTAGGTAATGAGCAGATTACTGATCAACATAGTACATCAATGCAAGGACTGCTCGAAGGGAACACAAACACTTTGTAATAGAAAAAATTTACTGTAATAAATTAATAAAACTAAACTGATGAAAGAGAATTTTTTAATGCAAAAGTCTTTTTACTGTGGAAACGTAGTTTGGAAAATTTTTGATCTTGTATTTTTTGAATTTTGCCATCGTCATAGGAATTTTCAGATAATAAAGGTTTGACAGAAAATGATACTTGCAAGTGTTTATTAGTGTACCTGAAAAAAATATTTTATAATTATTTTATACTATGTATGTTGCAAGTTATATATAATAAAAGATTAAATAAAAAAAAGATGTATATTGTGTAGTACTTATCACGCATTGTTTACACAATGCTGTTTGTCTCATTGTATCTCATATCAGCAGAAAACAAAATATTTCACATAATTGTTTTGAAACATTATCGCAGGTCTATATATATTCTGAAAAAAATAAATTACCCGCAATAAAACTTCTTCTTTTTGATATTTGTGATAGATTAAGCACGCTATCGCGTGTTAAACACGAATACGGTCACACAAAGGGCCAAGCTATTTTGGCAACTTTCCTCAATGTCTCTTTTTTCTTTCTTTCTCTTTTCTCTCGAACGGGTGAGAAATTGGTGTATCTCGTCTCGATCAGTCTCAATTCGATAAAAACTACATGCATTCGCCATTCTCTGATCTCCGGGGAGAAAGACTCACGGTAACTAACCCTGTTCTGTCTCGATCGACGTGGCTCTCGGAGTCGACGCGACGAGGGAGGTGAGACGAAGGACGAGACGGAGTAGCGCGTCGGAGTAGCGGCCTCGGCGCGCAGCTGCAGCTGCGTCGTCGTTCTCCCTGCAAGAGAAGGACCTGCCCGCGACGTTCAGTGAACGAGGCGGCACGGTTTCGTGCGGGCATCCTGATTCGCATCTCCTTTATTTAAAACAGTGCTCGAAACTGCGAGACATTTCGGGAGTGTCTCGAAGACTACCGCGAGCCATCGAGCGCTCGCATACGTTGAAGCGGTTTTTGATTCTGTGTGAACCAAAGTATAACACACATTTCTGACGTTTTATTCATCACCGTATACGCGAAATACAGATATACATACGAACGTACGTATACGGAACGTACGAACGCAACATAGGAAGCTTCTCTGGGGCATCGTAGGCGTGTGGGCGCGCCGGGGGGGCGGGAGGGGGGAGGGGGAGCAGGCGACGGGGAAGGATGTCGATGCGCCGTCGGTGGTCGGTTTCGGGGGTTGACTCGCGCCGCGGGGGCGATGAGCGCATTTCCCTCCGCCCTGAGACTGACCTGCTGCTGCTGGCTTTTGCTGACCTGCCTCGTCGTCGTCTTCCTGATACCCGCGCCCTGTACCAGCGACACACCGCAGCGGGTGTCACGCCGTGCCCGAGATTGGCCAGGAGGTGATGATGATGCGGCGGCGTTGCACGGTTGGTCCAGCTACCTTGACGACGATGAAGGCGTTGAGACTTACGAGCGAATATCCAACGACGACAATGGCGACGACTTCGAAGACGAGGAATCCGAGAGAAACATCACTGCGGGTGAGTGTTCACACGATGGCGATCACATTCAGAACGAGTGTATATTTGTGGTTTCTTAAATGTGAATTGAGAGAGAGAGAGATTTGTGAGTGTGTATAGAAATCAACTCGAATTTAAATTTTCTGATCAGATCGTCGATTAAATTTGTTTTCCGAAATTTCGACAATTATAGTGTGTGAATATTTTTAAAGTCAAAAAGAAGTTATTAATAATAATAGAGATATTCTAAAGAAAGAAAACTTAGAAGTCAAATACCTGAATAAAAAAGCTCAATGTCTACTTATTGTGATGACAAACCGTTACTTGGTGAAGAGAGTCGTTTTAAATTATTAAACATTATCGACGAGTAGTTTTAATAGGTTTCTGACAATTTTTGACACAAGTGCACTATCAGTGACAAAATCAAAAACTTTGGTTGTACGAAATACGACGTTTTCGTAATACAATTCGTTTAAAGTTCGTTTAAAAACTCTGATTTTTATACTCTCATTTTAATTCATTTTTTAACTTTAAATTGTAATTATATAATTTCAATAAAAGTCTAAGATAAACGTAGAAAGAAATAGGATTGATAAATTTTTCTTACTTTTTGTGTATACATACTATATAAATTTTAGTGAAAATTTGATCAATTATTGTTTGAAACAAAATCTATTGTAGTTATCAAAAAATTGTGATTTTCAAATTTTGAGTGAAAACAAAGAATATCAGTGACATACAAACAATGCATTTATATATTAAATAAAATGAACAATTTTATATATTAAAAGATAAATTAATTACGTAATTAATTACAAGTTATTTATCTTTATAAAAACACTTGAGTAATTTATTTTATAAAGAACTGAGAAAATAATGTGTTCTTTTGCACATAGTAAAGAAAACTCTCTCTAAATAAGAAAATTTATCTTTAGACACACAAATAAAATAATATATATATATTAAAGGAAGAAAGAGAAAGAAGATAAAATTCTTCTCAAAGTTAAAAACCACATCTGAAACAAATACAAGTAAAATAATAAGAGATACAAGTAATCTTACACAAAGCTTATTGATGCCGCATTTAATTTGCAATCAAAGAACGTTCGATTTAGATGCTATATAATGCTCCATTTTCACAACAACGATCGAAGACGATATATCTCAAGGTTCATGCTCGCGCCTGCTCCACAATGTTCAAACACTTTCGTCGAGAATGTTCATCCGCCAAAGTACACACATCTTGTTTTGGAATACATTTTCGAGACAATGACTATTTGAATTTATTGTATTCAATATTATTTTAATATATAACAGAAATATTAATTTGTGCAGTTTATATATAAAAAGAAAACGGAAAAAATATAATTGTATAATTAAAATGTATATGTAATAAGTGTAGCTGTTTTTATAAAAATAATTTTTCTGTATTATCAAGATTATATATATATATTTTTATTATATATATTTTCTACAAATTTTTATATTTTTCTCTAAAAGAAGAAAAAATTTTTGTTAGATATAAGAATTGTGATTTTGTTTTAACAAATTCAAAAACTTGTCACTTATTATTTAGTTTACATTTTATTAAAACAATTCAAATTTAACTTTTGTTTTTAACCTTTTCATTACTTTATATCGTACGTATATGGTTTAATTTTCTTTATATAGAAGTTTAATTTTTTTTTTATTGCTATTTAACGTAGTAATATAAGTTATACAAATCTCTCGTCTTGCTTTTGGAACTTTTTTATTTCAGTTTTATAATAAAAATATATATATACATATATATACAAATGTGTTCTTTAGATTTTCTTATATTCGTATTCTCATATTCCAGAAGAAATTTCTAAAGAACGCCTTTAGCGCACGCGTCGATTTAACCGTGAAGGAACGCGTTCGTCTTGATTTTCGCGCCAAGCATGTCGTCCGGTATTGATTTTAATGGATGCTGCAAGTCTCGCTCTCTGGGCCCGCGTGTGTGAGTAAAAAGTGGCAACTGTGCACGTTCTCTTTTTTAAAAGTGAATTTTAGGGTGAGAATATTATGTAAAAGCTTAATGAAAATGATAAGGTGTATCATTCATACACACTTTCTGACCTTTCATTCATGTCCATCTTTTCAACGAGAAAGGAGCAATCGGATGGAACAGATTACTACAAAGAGCAGAAATCAACCGTAACATCGTTAATTAAGAATTAATAAAAAATTAATACACAAATTATATAATTAGTTTACAAAGAGAAATAGAATAGCTCTATACTCTTTACAATATTGAAAAACGTTACTTGTAACAATAGAAATAAAATATACAATGTTATTTTATTGGTGAGTATATATGTACAAAACTCTCTTAAAAGTGTTTCCAAACAAAATTTATTTCGTTTCATAATTAGTACGAAAACTACAATACGTGTTCGCATATGATTTAACTTTAGTGTAGCAGTACTCGAAGAAATAAATTTTTTCTTGCACAGTGAGAACATTCATATGATTAATAGCACACACAACTTTAGAACTGACACATTTCCAAGTTATGAAACTGATATGTACAAATATGTTTGAAACAAATGATTGAAGATATAATATAATTTAATTTAAGCAACTTCTTATATACATATATGTGTATATTGTCATTCTATATAGGTTTTCATGTTTAACATAATTTTTTAAATCTTTTACTGCTCTTACAATGAGTCAAAATGTAAGATTCAAAATGCTTTTATTAATTCAAATATAATTGTTTAACGATCATATTTGTTATTAATATAGCTGCACACACTAATCCATCAAGTGCTAAAAAAAGTTGCGTTGTACTTTCTGTAAATCATGCTAATCTAAATTTTCGCTCGATAAAGACGTGATAAAGTGCACGCAAAGTGGCAGTAACGCATACGTGCAACGAACTCAAATCAGTATGAAATTAAATATGTCTCGTGAAGAAATCTGAGTTGAGATGTTTTTTTTTTTTTTTCCAAGCAACAAAGCGCAAAATTCTCAAGGAATATATGCTCATCAGGAATCGACACAAACTATGTCGCGTCGACGCTATTATTCGCAAAACAATGAGTTCTGTAATATTGAAATCGCATTTACATATACGTATATGGCGCCATTTAAATGACGCGGAACGTTTATCGTCCACATGCGCTGTGGACTGTGTTATCATTAAATGAATACCGTAATACGGTAAACACATTTATGAAGAAAAATACTGCACAAGCAACTGATACACACAAATATAAAAAAATTAATATTTTATTTAAAATACTATATAATATTATTATACAAAAAGTATACAGATACGCATGCAAAGAATTATTCAAACATGTTACACAAAATGTGATCCACTTGTGAATCTTGATTTTAAAGAACGAGACGGGTAATGATTTTTTTTGTGGTTTAATCGAGACGTTTGTAATAAAAGTCGATTGTAGAACAACAGTGAGGAAATTCACTTATTCGAATCAAAGTTTTATTTACCTGCTTTTTTCGGAAAATGAAAAAAATTTCTAATTGTTCACATATTAGAGCTGCATTGTCATATATTGCTGTTTGAAAGCGTGCCAAGGGAGTTAACAATTATCGCTTGGCCTACTAATGAAACGAGTAGAGAATATAGTATAATATACGGTACACAGTTACAATACAGTCTGGTGTTAAATTGCACGGCAGCAAAGTTGGCACTCTGCCACTTGATTGTATTTAAATTTCCCCAACTGAATTATAAATTGTAAAACTTAGAATTTACATTATTTCAAGCAAAAATATGTAAAAAGCATGTATTGAAAATATGTATTGACAATACATAAATTTAGAAAGTTATAATTATAGCGCCATCATGTTTAATAGAAGCCACCCACATAGTCAGATTTATCGCCAATTATTTATTAACTTCTACATTAGCAAGCTTCTGACGCAATATATTAGATATTTCATAAATACACAATATATTTGTATATATATTATATACATAGTTGTATATATATATTTGTAAATATTTAGTTTTAAAAATATAACACACCTACATATATATATATATATGTATAAATAAAGCTTTTTGCGGTAATTTTTACTTGTAAATTATGCTTTAATGGAAACATGAGAATGTTATTGTACACAGAAATATTATCATTAATTTATTATTAATACAATTAACTATTAGATACAATAATTGAATGCATTTTCAGTTTAGTTACATATTAAAATATAAATAACTTGTATAAAGAATATCTCTTATCTGAAAATTATGAATGTATATGGAAGTCTCCGAAATTGATTAGACTTAGTAATTTCAAATACTTTTTATATTCTTTAATGAGAATTAAACACCGCACTTATTACGCTCAGAGCAAAGTTTTTAACATTCATATGGATCTTTTGCAGAAAAAGGAAAGTACCTTGGATCGCCTTGTGACGTCGAGTGCAATCCCGAACTACAGCACGTGTTCTGTGATTCAATCACTGGCTTCTGTGAATGCGAAAAGTTCTACCCCGTTCGTCTCGGGGTTACCAAGGGATGTGCCAAACGTACGTAAAAGCTAAACGACTAGTAACCCTCGCACCTAACAAGTAGGTCGTTCCGATATCATAACTTCCATGGTAACGGTCGGTGAAAATAAATGTTCGCGCTCTCCTAATAGCCTGAATGAAGTCCGGTGCAATGTGAAGAGACCGTGCAATTTATTGCTTTTACGTATTCAATGTAAAGCGCCGTAAAACCGTAAGCGCGTAAACGTATCGATCGGAAGAAAAACGTCACTCATAATCAATAATCTCGAACTATATGTTTAAAAATTAACATCAAGCACTTAATCGATATATTTTTTCTGATGATGTATTATTGATAAAACTATAAGTAAAAACCGGTATTATTTAATTATATAACGGTGAAATTTTCAGAATTTGAAAAGCGAAAGAGCGAAGTTTTGTTGAGAAAGAGAGAGAGAGAGAGAGAAAAAAAAAGATAAAGAGAGAAGAAAGAGAGAGTTAAAAAAGAGAGATTGAATTTATTAGATTTATCTGGATAGAACTTTAATAAATTCGTCATTGAATAAAAGATACGTTTCTTGGTAGTAAAGTCAGTCGTTTCAAGTAATCGATTCTTACTTCTAGCCAAAAGACTCGGAGAGCAGTGCTTCTATCGTGCAACGTGCACTTTTACGGATCAGCATTCGACGTGTACTCAGATTCAACACAATGCAGTGTGCGATTGCGAGGAGGGATATCACAAAGTTGCCCTATCTAGGCCTAACAAAAAAGTTTTCTGCGCGGAGGGTATGTCTTTTATATTTCCAAAATATTTCTTCAAAACTGCTCGATTATACCGAGTCAGATTTTAATCAAAGATTCCTTCAACAATTTTAACATACAAATTATCAAGCGCGCATCTGCTTTAACATCCAACACATTTCTCTAATTAATCATCAAGCAAACATAATAAATTTCTCCTTGTTAATACGGAATCTTGTATAAATGTATAGCGATATTGATCCGCGACGAGAGCCGCGTCCTTCTTAATAGGCCGTAATCTCTCTTGATAGATCTGGTGCTGATAAGTACGGACCTTCCGACCCTAGTCTGCATAGCATCGGGGATAGCCATCTTCACGGCGATGATATGCTTCGTGCTCAAACTATTCAGCCGGGCGAGGTATTCAAGGCCGCGGCATTACGCCAACGCCAATCATGCGCCATCCATGCTGTTTTCCAGTGATACGGGTAAATAACGACCAATTAATTCCGAGATTCTGAAAACAGTAGAAACTCTTCTCATGAGTTTCAAGAAAATTGTCATAATTGCTCAAAAATCTTCTTATACCGTTCTAATCGTTATAACGACACACAGTTAAGAGCAGTGATTTTGTTATCTTATGCAATCGCGCGCGCGCGCGCGCGCCAATGTTTTTCCGCTAAAATTGGATGTGTGTGTGTAAAAAAAAAAATAGTATACTCTTTGTTTCAAGAAACAAAAATCAGAAACTGTAGTAGTTATGTGTGGTGTGATTGATATGTGTGGACGCCGGTACTACTCGACTCTTTTTTTTACACCTAAAAAGTAAATCTTTTTTTTTTATATAAAAAGTGCTTTATATATAATTGACATTTTAATTTATATTATACTTGTAACACATTTATTGTTTATTAATAAAAGTTTCGAGTAAATTTCTAATTTGGGTTTTACAATATTTTTAAATTTCATTGCACGCGCCGTATTGTATTCTTGCATCAAGCACGCACGTAAGCCTGCATGTTCTTATTTACAACAATGATTCTTCCTTTTTCGTGGAAAACCTACTTTCGCTTCTTCGAAATCAATAAGAAGATATCTTTATATCGATAAGGTGTATATTTCGAAGAAGAGCGCATCTATTCTTGACTTGCTTCGTCTCACTTACGACGTCATACATCAAACTGTGCTTTAAAAACATTGAATGTAGTAACATTATAGTCTTCAAAAATAATTGGGAAGAGTCTAACAAGCACACGAGACATGAAATATAAATGTTTTATGAAACTAATTCGAGAAAGAAAATAAAAAATCTCAAAACATCATCGCACTCGCAAAGTTTTTGACAAAAATAAGTTTTAAAACATTTTATATTGATCAAAGAAATTTTTTTTCTTTTTTAGAAAAAAAAAGTGATAATAAGCGCGAAGAAAAAAAGAGAAAGAATATTAAATTTCTGTATAACACGTTTCTTCTTTCGCTTGACGAAGATGTAAAAGCCAAAGCATATATTCACTTTGCATAACAAATCAATCAATATCATAAATATCTCGTTGAATTGAACATTGTTAGATGTAGACGGCTTCGGTTTGCGGGATATCGTCACATGCAAAAGGTCAAACGATGCATCCATTATGTTTACGAGCGCGAAAAGTTTGAAAGCCGAGTTGGCTGCGATTTACGACGTGGACAGATATACATTTCCATGAAATAACTCGCGAAATAATAATTTATTGAATAATATATATTTCCGCAGGCATACCATTGACGCTGCACGGACGTCCGTCCTCGCGATCGAGCCAGCGAAGCAGCAGTGCCGGGCCCCTCAGCTGCGCGTTCACGAGGAGGCCAAGCAGCGGCGGCAGCCGAGGACCCCTAGTACCGGCGTCCAGAGCAGGTGCGGCACGGGCCGCAGCCATCTTGCTTATATCGTGTCACCTGCAGGCGACCAAAGGCGGCAACAAGCACCGACGTACCCTTAGTGACGTAGCCGAAGGATCGTCCGACGGCCTCGGTAGACGATCAACGATCTCTTTCTGTCTCTATCGCTCTCTGAGTGTGTCCCACGTTTCTCCGTACACACGTTATCAAACACCCTTTCTTCCCTTTCTTGATGTTTCTCGCTCTCCGTTTCCCAACTTGCTTTTTAAACGATAAACCTTATCGATACACACCGAATGTCGCGTTTGGTTTGGCTATTTCACACCGTTTTAAAAAATACACAGATGTGTGAAACGAGGATACTCAGAGAGAATACGCCTAACTTCGTTTGAGAAACGTCGGGTATAATTGTCCGCTGTGTTCATTCACGCAAATTTGTTGTCTTGACAGATTCATGTGTCCCGTCGTCGTGGCTATGTGTAATTATCTGTTTTTCTCTATATATAGCTCTGTCTTCATACTTCTTCATAAACATTTGTCTGTTACATTACCTATATGTTCGTCACCGCAATTTGCTTCTTGTGCTGGTCGGTGGTAATTGTGAAAGAGGGAGATTTTAATTGTGATATGTTAAGAGAGAGAGAGATTGGATTGGCGAAATCCGCGATATATAGAGCAACGATGCTTCATTGCCAGAACACGTTGTTGTCAAGCTGTTGCTGTTACATGGTCGTGGTAACTGGCTTGTTGTATCGATATATAGTTGTTTTAGATGTCCGTTAGCCATTTTATTTGAAATATTTTTTGACTCTTGATCGTTTCTCCGCGTCCCAACGCGTTTTATTCGCTGATGAACGTATTTAATTGTCATTTTAGAATACATTATGTAATAACTACATTAATTATCTCTATAAAACGTTTATTTTTACATTTTTGACAAGAAGAGCCAGTCGTTTGTCACAGTTCATTATCGCAATTGTTACTTTCTGCTCACGCGTCATATTTTTATGATTTTCTATCTATCAGTTTTACATGATTAGTGCAATTTATGACGCGCGTTATATGACGTTCTTTTTTCCTCTGCTATCAAAACACTTTCTTGTCTAATATTCCTGAAATACAGTTAATGAATGAGTAGTTGTGTAATACTGTATATAAACAACTCTCTACATAGACGCTAGATCTGCATATGTGAAAAAAACGTGAAATTGCAAAAGTAAAAAAAAAAAAAAAAAACGTAGCACAAGTGTGTTACGAGATAGCAAGATGGCAGCGGCCGATTTCGTTGCTCGTTTACAAACGAATGTTTTCTGGTAAGACGTAGAGAAACACGAAATCTTTACGCACTAGCTAGCTCGCTGCACACACATACACAATTACGCACACACAAATATACACGAACATCTCCACAAATGACAAAATAATTAATGTGTATAATATCTTTTAGAGAGTAGAGCTTGCTTTGTGCTGGTTTATATATTTTTTTATGTCAAATTCTTGCTTTTCAGTAATCTATATGTAACATAAATTGCGCCTGAAAATATGCATTCCAACTAAACTTGCCAATACGTCGAGCAGGTTACATACTCGCAGGCCCAATATTAATCTTTACAGAACGGATGAATTTTTAGACCACTTTTACAGTTTTTAATTAGTTTTCAATTTTTTGTACATGCATTTTTTCTTTATATAATAAATTCTATTATGCAAAGTTTATATAACATAACAATACAAAATAGTCGAAGTATAAAATAAATTGTTGTTATTATCCGCATCAATTTTAAAGTTTAAATATTGAAACTTGATATAAAATAAATATATACGGTAGAATATTTATATTTTTTATTTTTAAAGTTTTTTTATAACTACGTTCTCAAAGACTCTACTAAGTTTTGTAATAAATAATAATAGACTTATTGACAAAGTATTATTTTTATTAATTTGTATGGAAGAGATAATAATATTACATAAGATAATAATAATACATAATAAAATTGTACTTATAATTAATAAATTGTTGTTGCGCTAATATATTGACACCTTCGGTCTGTAAAGGTTAAAGTATGTGGTAATAAAACTTTGTTTTTTTATTTTAATGCTTTCTAACATTGTTAACTTTTGAAAAGTTTAATGCTCTTACATAATATGTAATTTTTTATATACTTATTGAAATTTTTTAATAATTATTTGCATTTTTAATAATTTTTTTATAATTAGACATTTTTGCTATCTGTTTAACAATAATCGTTTATGCATTTTTCTATTATACAAAAGTCGTTTTTTACAAATGTTATATACATATAGAATTTTATTACAAAGTACACATTATCGTACCCGAAATGTTTTTTATGACCAACATTTAAAATATTTTATATCAACTTATCAGCATGTTTCTATGATATCTAGAATTTCTTCTGAAGAATATTATAAAAAAGAAACAAATATTTAATAATTAATCTTTTTATCTTTAGTTTTATTTTTTATATATAAATAAAAATTCTTTGCTATTTTTACTCTCTTTCTCGTATGTTCATTCACGTTCCTATTTACTCAAGTTATAGCAGATTTCTTCGTAAGCTTCTTCTACCGCTTCATCGAACATTTCTCGCGCCGATAAAGGTACCGCAAGAATACATATTATGATCTCGCACTTAGAAACTCACAGTCTTTATAAAAAAAAAACTCTGTCTTGAAAAAACTTAGAACTTACGTACAATATTACAATAGATTCTCTTCTTCTTGTTAATCATATAATTTTTCTAGCGTAGACGACAGCACATTTACAAAGGATATGTCTCTATGAAACGACTCTTTTCTTTGTCAGGTTCCCGCCGTCCTAGTTTAGCGTCGGTCCATAGTTCGACGTCTTCGTCCCGTAGTTATAGCGCACGTCGACTCGAAAAAGAAAGAAACGAAAAGGAGCAACGCCAAGCACTTCAGGAACTTCGACTAGCAAAGCAGCGAGAACAAATGCAACAGCAACAGGTGGCGCCAACGCCTAGTCCTAGAACACCTCATTCCACAGACGAGTTGCTACCTTCAGTCGAAGAAGGGAAAGAAGTTTTTTACAACGAGGTAAAGTAACTTATATATACTTCAGTTGAGATGTCTGCCAACATCTATCATCATCTGTCTTTGTTAGTGATATAATTCAATGTTAACTTTTTAAAATTTTAAAATTATAAATGAGATGTCTACTTGATTCTATCATCTCATCTTTGAACAAATGCTATTTGTCAAGCAAAAATAATTTGCAGCAGGTGCCGACGACATCTGAAATATCAAATACAATCCCAATAACGACTCCGACAACGTCGTCGATGATGACGACGACGACGGCGACCACGGCAACAACCACTTCCAACGCGACGACAACCCGAATAGGCGAGACTACGCCTATAGCAACGCCAACAACGTCGATCTTCGGCATGAGCGTTGCGCCGCGGGCTTCCGATGATATTTTTCAAGTGTAGCCTTCGTCTAGATACGACGATGGTCAATGGACTCGCAGTTTATTAACGACTTTTTACCGTATTTGCAAGAACCAACTACAACAGAGCAAAGAAGAGTCGCGTACGTAAAAAAAAAAAAATAAAAGTGTGATAAAACACACGATAAAACACAAAGCTCTAATATATCTATTATATAGGTGTGCATGCACAAAATTATCGAAAATAAGTTAAAACTATATTCTGTCCACATTAAAAGTCCACATCAAATTAGTTCTCTGAATAAAAATAACACCACAAAATCTAACGATTACAACTATATTTTTGTTTCGAATTTTCTACCGAAAAAAAGTGCTTTGAAAAGAAAAATTTATATATATTATTATTTTTACTTAATATACGTATACACACACACGTGCGCACATGTACCATTTCTGTGATATGTAAATGCAGTGTTCGGTATCAGAATGATTGACAAAAAGAGAAATATCTGACACATATTTGATTCAAGTAACTCTTTGATTATAATTTACACACGTTTTAATTTTTTCTTCGCGTCACATAACATTAAAAAAAAAAAAAAAAAAAANAATACGTAATCGCTGACTTTTCATAATGTGGACAAAATATTATTGCAAATATTATTGCAAATACAAGGCACTTTCTGAATGAACATACTTGGGCACAAGTGTACTTAAAACGAATTAGAAGGTGACGGATGTAATAAAACATATTTTTAACTTGGTATTTGCACAGACAGATAAGTACTTATACGAATGCAGCTGAACATTCAAAAAAGAGCAAGGATTTATGGCGTAATTAACGTAAGGCAATCAATATGTGCGCGCAAGATGCCAGTTCTTTTTGAATGTTGTGACAAGCATAGACAGAGTTATTGAAAAATATTTAAATAACTATGTCTGAGTGCGAAAAAAAAAGTGCATTTACGCTTAGATATTTAACATACTATGCGAAGATTTGAAATTGATATATAACAGGAATATGCTGAATTATATAATCAGAGAACAAAGAAGAGTTAGCGTCTCAATGCTTTGAAATCATTGAAACAGAGTTTATGTTACCCTAATACGGTGTATTGGAAAGATACGTATCTTGCAAAAATATAAAAGTGTTTTTATAATAATGTAAAACTCATATGTAGATTTGTCTGGTTATCGTGGTATCACGGTTGTGCCACGATTACTGCGTGTGCACCTTCTGCATAGATATATATATTTTGTCTGAATAATTGAATCTTTTGGTATCGAAAATTTTCATTATACGATATTTACAGTCTTTTGTAAAGCTGTTGCAGAGAGTTTTTAAAAAAACCAAATATTTGTCAGAAACAAATTATATATAAGAAGAATTTAGCCAAGTTAATTTGTGATTACAATTAATTTTATATATAATTTACATATCACGCAAAATTCGTCACTACGTAATTACATATTGAAATCGACTTACACATTTGATGAAAGCATTGATTCGCTTAAAAACTAACATCACTATAGAAACCGTATCGTAAAAAAACTTTTTATGATTCTCACGACATATAAATATAATTGTGCTTGTTTCGAAGTGCAATAATAACAATGATTCAAATTTATATATCGAGATAAATCATATATTATATTATCTAAACAGATTGATCTCAAACTAGAGAAATCATTTTGATGTTAAAAATATCTGTTTTATGATTACATATTGTAAAATCAATCGTCACGTAATCATTTCGATTTTTCAAAATATACAATCACATATCAACAGTCGTAAAGCGCACCGTTTCGTTTTATTTGTCGAATAAAATAAAAAATCAATTTTGATCGAGTAAAATTATTGTATACGTTATGTTAAACTTTTCGCGAAATAAAAAAAAAACACGATTTGAGAGGAAGACTATTGAAGAGACAATCTCGAGCGGATCGAGGCTAAATATATTATATTTACAGCCTTAAGGAATAAATAAAAATGGGAACGCAATCTATTTCTGTTGACTCTTTACAAGTAATAATAATGAGATTGTAAAAGATGAATTGAGCCACTGCTTTATTGTACAGACGTTTTCTTCCTTTACTTATCTAAATAAGATGATGTGAAATAGTATAAGCAAAGATTTCTTCTCTCATTGTCAGTGAAACAGTTCTGTGTCAATTTGGTTTCAGACATTACTACAATGATTTATTTATTTAATTGTCAACTGTACATACACGATGTGATACATACAAGCTCTGTTTATATCGTTAGGTAACAGATGCAAAATATATAACTCTTATATCTATTAGTAGATATTACTGTATATTGTATAATGATATTACATTTGTTGAATATATTTGTTGAAATGAAATCGCTATACATTAATTCTTTTTGTTTGTAACTTTTAACGCGCACTAGAGATCGATTGTTATACAAATAAACAATCTAATAACAAATTTTTCTATTTTTTTAAATTGTCACAAAAATGAACTTAAATTATCGTATAAACAAATGTTTATTTTTAAGATAGTTTGTCATGTAAAAATGTTTGTCGTGTACAAAATTTGATATGGTGACTCAAAAAAGCTAAAACAAAATCTCTCTTTTTCATTCTGTGTTTGTTATATTTTTTTTCATATTCTCATCGAAATTTAACACAATCAAGCACAATCCGATCTCGTCGATCTCTCTCAAGATTGTTTCACGATTCTTCAAACTATAAGTTTCGGTCGTTAGATTCGCATAAAGAGCGTAGCAATATACCGATCATACACAAAGAAGCTATCATATGCGATTATACGTTCGTAACAAAGATTTATGAACCGGTCAGAAAGCTATAAATCTATTATTATAGTGAAACGTGTCGACATTGTCGTGTTCGAATAATTTATATACGCTGCCTTTCCCGAGTAAATAATAATAACAAAAAAAAAAAAAAACCAGAAAACGAAGAGCGTTTATATTCCAGAACGTTCTTATACACTTGCTGCGTAGCATAAACGCTGCATATGTGTGTGTATATATATGTACATATATACGCATATATATTTACACGCAGATCCATGTATAGACGTGACACAGAGAAATAAAATACTCGTACGTATCTGTTCGGCAACGATCGCACCTTGTTATCAGGTTCGATCGTAGTCGATCGATCTATTATCATTAAGATAAAAAATAAAAAATAAAAAAAATGAAAAGTTATACTACACACACAGCCTGCATTGCTCCGAAATATTCCATATTTGACTTGCCGCCTGATTTATAAAAGTCAATGTACAACGTTATCGTTTTATCCAAATTTTAAATGTTTACTGTAACATAAGATTGTAATATAGTCGTTGGGCCAAAATAAAGCTCTCGTTTTTCGATATAAGCATATATTCGATGCAGATCTGATTAATTTTTTTTTTTTTTTCCATGTAGACATGCGTGTAACGAAAATACAATTTTCATGTCTCTTGTGATAAAAACCATCAAGATAAATAATTGAAACCTTAATATCTAAAATTGCGAAAAATTAAAGTACAATATGAAATTGCTCAGAAAAACCTTTCGAAAAAACAAACTTACATTCGTGCATTATTGATCGTGTACATTGTTTTACTCTTTGCTCGAAAATCGATTTAATCCACTAAAACTCGCGTTACGTTCCTCTTATGAAGAACAAGCACCTCGAAGCACGCAATCTGTCTTCATTAAAGTTGCAATAGTAATTACGGTTATTCTATGTAAAATATTAGAAAACACACACACAGCCTGTTTTGTCAGAGCGTGTTGCGTTCGTTTCAGAAACACTTCATCTTTGCTTTTTCTTCAAAAGAGTCTTTGTTACAAAATAGCGCTCCGCAAATCCTTCACATCGCGCCCGTAAATGGATCTCGTTATACTCAACATCGATTAAAACAAATCAATAAGACAAAAAAAAAAATGGAAGAAGAAATTCGCGTACAAGTACAAGACCGTCACTCGATAGAACAAGTTTTACGTCCGATAGCGTATTTCTCCTGGCTTCTAGGCGTTGGTGTGGCATGTCCGCGAAAATGTCCCAAAGCCGTTACGGTAATTCTACGGACGCTTCACTTCGGGGTGTGTTCCGTTATCGTGGTGTACGGCGCGATAGATTTCTTCACCTTCGGCAGTGTCTTCAAGAGCGACATATTCAAGATCATGTACTATACGAACAAGGTGGTGTGTTACGTGGCCGCGTATTATTACGTTCTTCACGGCATCGGGCGTTACAACACGTGGCCGGAGTTGATGAGCAGACTGAAGAGCCTCGATGAGAAGATCAGAAGAGAAACGGATCTGAACGATCGACCCGTAAAAATTGTTCAAGTACTGGCCGTCCTCACGACTCTCACTTGCGGCCCTTTGTTTCTAATTATACACTCTTTGTATTATTACTTCACGTGTCCCGATGATATCTTCGCATCCGATTTGCTGCTTTATTACACGATAGCTCAGTCCTTGATCAATAGCTTCGTCTTTGATGTTGTCATCTATGTGTTGTATCACAGATTCGAGACGATAAACGAATTGATTGGACAATTGGACGAGAGATTCGACGCCCCGTGGATAGCGCACAAACTTAGACGCATCAGGGAGTTACATATCGGTGAGTGAAACTATTTGTAATATTATAGGTATCTCTTCTCCGAGTGTCAGCAAGGATTATTCTGTTATTACGGTTAGGTGTTATTATATAGTTACACATACTGCTAAAAAAATATTATAATTCTTGTCAAGGTGATTTGTAACATCCAATTGCAAATTATTACGCAGGAATCTGCGACGTGATCACAATGGTAAACGATATTTACGGTTTTCATCTTCTCTTTTGTTCGGCTAACTGCTTCACCATGGTTGTGGCCACGCTGTTTAGAATTTACATGAGCGTTGTTGAGAAAAACTACGCGTTTATGCTGATAAATAATATTCTTTGGATTCTGTACACCGCGCAATTCGGCCTGATGTGTTGGGTTTGTACACTCGCGCGTCGCGAATCCGATAACACCGGAATAATCATATACGGAATTGTGTTAAATTGGAAATCTGCGTGTCTTGGAAAACGAAATAGCGTCAAGTATCAACAAAATCTAGAATTGTCACTGAACAGCGAGCAAAATTCTAATCGAAGTAGCGGCTACAATCTAAGTTACGTCGTTATGGAAAACTTATTACGCAAAAACTTAAACCGAGATTGCGTCAGAAAGGAAGTCAATGATTTTTCGATTCAGCTTCAACAGCATCGCGTGGCATTTACGGCTCGTGATCTTTTCGAAATGAACAATGCTCTGCTTAGTGGGGTAAGTACGTCTCTTTTCTTATCTATCGTTTTGTGATTGAACACAGATTGTTTTTTCTCTCTTCACAGATTGCAATTAAGATATAATTAATCAACTTTTTTTTTCAGTTTGTCGGCGTAATTACTACCTACTTGATCATTCTCGTGCAATTTTATCGACCGGAAAATCTGAACGCTTAAATACAATAGAGAATGTTAACAAAAGCCGTCATTTAAAGTTTAGAGGAAAGAGAAGTGGAGGCAATAATATTAAACATCTAGTTTTTAATAATAAAATGTTTATATTGTAACAAACTTAACACTATACAATACTTTGTTCACAGCTCTTAAAAAATAAAAAATAAATGTTTGTGCAAAGAATAAATTAAAATGACTATGATGTTTGTGTGTATGCGGAATTTAACAATGTTTTCATAAATAATATAAAATAGTGTGGCATTGTTGAAAAAAAAACTGTATAAGAGAAAAAGGTCGGATATCAATTAATTTAATCAACTTCCTCAATGGTTGGTCCTGCGCCACCGGCTCCAGGATTGGCTCCTGGCCCACCAGCACCAGGGAAGCCGCCACCAGGCGCTCCACCGCTTTGATAAAGTTTCGTGACAATGGGATTGCAAACGGCTTCCAACTCCTTCTGTTTGTCGGCAAACTCCTCCTTCTCAGCTAATTGATTGGCGTCCAACCACGAGATAACTTCGTTGCACTTGGAGATTACTTTCTCTTTGTCGGATGCATTGACTTTGTCTTTGATTTTCTCGTCCTCCATCGTGCTCTTCATGTTAAAGCAGTACGACTCGAGAGCGTTCTTGGCGGCAACCCTATCTCGTTGCTGTTCATCTTCCGATCGGTATTTCTCGGCTTCGTTCACCATTCTCTCAATATCTTCTTTCGACAATCGACCCTTGTCGTTGGTAATTGTGATCTTGTTTTCTTTACCCGTAGATTTCTCGATCGCAGAGACGTTTAGTATACCGTTGGCATCAATATCGAAGGTGACTTCAATTTGTGGCACACCTCTAGGCGCCGGTGGTATTCCCGTTAATTCGAATTTGCCAAGAATGTTGTTATCTTTGGTCATCGCTCTTTCTCCCTCGTAGACTTGGATAAGTACTCCCGGTTGATTGTCGGAATATGTGGTGAATGTTTGCGTCTGCTTTGTAGGTATCGTGGTGTTCCTCTTAATCAGAGTGGTCATGACACCGCCAGCGGTCTCAATTCCCAACGACAGTGGGGTCACGTCCAGCAGAAGCAGATCTTGAACTTCTTCGGACTTGTCGCCATGCAGAATCGCCGCCTGAACAGCTGCGCCGTAAGCAACAGCCTCATCCGGATTGATAGATTTGTTCAATTCCTTGCCGTTAAAGAAATCTTGAAGAAGCTTCTGAATCTTTGGTATCCTGGTAGAGCCGCCGACTAGAACGATGCTGTGCACCTGAGCCTTGTCCATCTTTGCGTCTCTGAGTGCCTTCTCTACGGGTTCGAGAGTGCTTCTGAACAGATCGGCGCAAAGTTCCTCGAATCTGGCCCTGGTGATGGACGTGTAGAAATCAATGCCCTCAAACAGCGAATCAATCTCGATGCTCGCTTGCGTTGATGAGCTCAATGTTCTCTTTGCTCTCTCACAGGCTGTCCTCAGACGTCTCAGAGCTCTCTTGTTAGTGCTCAAATCCTTTTTGTATTTTCTCTTGAATTCTTGTACAAAGTGATTCACCATTCGATTATCAAAGTCTTCTCCGCCAAGATGCGTGTCGCCAGCTGTGGATTTCACTTCAAAGATGCCATCCTCGATTGTCAAGATTGATACATCAAAGGTGCCTCCGCCCAAGTCAAAGATCAGAACATTCTTTTCGCCTGAAGTCTTCTTATCAAGGCCATATGCTATTGCAGCCGCTGTCGGTTCGTTTATTATCCTGAGAACATTGAGACCAGCAATAGCGCCAGCATCCTTTGTTGCTTGTCTCTGAGAGTCGTTGAAGTAGGCAGGCACAGTAATAACAGCATTTGTTACATTTTTGCCAAGATATGCTTCGGCTGTCTCTTTCATTTTTGTTAAAACCATGGAAGAAACTTCTTCGGGGAAAAAGGTTTTTGTTTCACCCTTGTATGATACTTTGATCTTTGGTTTGCCTGCATCATTCACTACCGTAAACGGCCAGTGTTTCATGTCACTTTGCACCGTTGCATCATCAAATCGACGACCAATTAGACGTTTTGCATCTGTAAGTAAAAATTGAAAAAAAAATATATATAAGCTATCTTTCTTCACATTATCGTAAAAATTTTTTAAAATTTAAATAATTGTTTTCGTATACTTTATGTTCTACCTAAAAGTCTAAAAAAGTATTCCTATATTCAACAAAAAAAAAAATATATCGCGTGAGTCATTCTGATTTCGATCCAACAATGTGCGCGACAGCATTGAGCTGACACAAATTAGGATTACATAAAACCGCGAAGTATAAATATCAGATTGCGCTTGGCTACAATGTAAGGGATAAATATAGACGAGAGTGGAAAAAGGAGGAGAACAGATCGCATGCGCTTTGAATGAGCACTATATAAAGATATGCGCAATATACAAGAGAGATGAGCTAAGTATTCAAAAGTAATGATTCAAAAAAGTTTGTTCTCAAAAATTTAAAAATAATTCAACATGCGTGTGCAATATACGTCGCAAGATTTTAATCACGAGCCAATAACGTTTAAGATAAATAATAAAGCAAACAAAAAAAAGATGATGCGCAATAACTTACAAACTGCGTAGAAAATGCAAATTGTAGTGGAAAAACTTTTAACTTACCGAAAATAGTGTTGCTGGGATTCATAGCGACCTGATTTTTTGCCGCATCGCCAATGAGCCTCTCGGTGTCGGTGAAGGCAACGTAACTCGGTGTTGTCCTGTTACCCTGATCATTGGCGATAATCTCAACCTTTCCATGTTGGAAGACACCCACGCAAGAATACGTGGTGCCCAAGTCAATTCCAATTGCTGGTGCTTTCGACATTGTCTCTTTGTCTTGTTGATTCAAGATAATCAAACACTGAAACAAACAACATGCGACGTCAGTTACATATGTTTATCACGAAGTATCAATTTATTTTTCGAGCGATCGAAATTTGTACTCGAATGGAATTGTCACAAATTTATACACTAATATAAAAATAACATGAATCTATACAATTTGTCATTGATAATTTATTTTATTTTTTTTTTAATATTGACATTTATGGATTATTACATAAACTCGCTTGATTACTTTTCCAAAAATTTCATTCGCGCTAAGACACGATTATATCCCAAAAAAAAAAAAACTAAAATTAAATATATACAAAAAATGATATAATACAATTAACACTTACCTCGTAAAATTTTCCTTATCACGTCGACAATTTAAAAACTTCGCAAGTGCTCACTGAGAGTTTTCGCTTCGCTCAAGTTTACCACTTGTTCACCTTATAGCGTTTGTACTAAGACTGACGATGCGCTTCTAGGCGCAGCGCTTTTATAACCAATCATTCGTTCTAGAAGCTTCTGGCGATGACCAATCCTGAGAACTACTAGGAGTATCCAGACGTTTCTATTGGCGAACGCGTCCAGTACATGAGAAACAGAGAGATGTGCATGTGCGTTGTGCGCGCACTTGCAAGAGGATAGAGAAAGAGAGGAAATCACGCGTAGGAAGGTACTGGAACGAGCTGCGTGCTAAAAGATCTGCGACTATAATTAGCCTGTGCGCGAATCACGTTTCATTTAGACGTGTTACTGTTAGCGCGCTGATAAAACAATAAAGATCTGTGTGTTAAAAAATTTATCAGACTTGTATGACGTAATTTTTCGCGCACTTTCTAAACCAGGCGCGAAAACTCTAGACACAGAGTGCGCAACATTCTCGTTGCGTTTGCGCAGAAACGCGAAGAGTCTCTTATGTTCGAGCACATTCAAGAAAATTCAATAAAAATTTGTTGCTCAGTTCAATAAAAATTTTGAATTATTTTGCCCGAGAACGTTCATATTGTTCTGCCAATCTTTTGATAAGGTCATGTTTCATGATTTATCTTGCTATAATGATTAAAAAATATTTAAACGAGTAAAAAAGTAATGATATATCACAACAATAAAAAAATATTTAAACAAGTAAAAAAATAATGATATATCACAACTGTCTTTTTCATTGTTGCAACAATATGTTGTGTGCAGCGCATTATATGTATTTTACTTTGATAAAATAATATTGCAGATAATCAAGAGAGAGAGAGAAAGAATAATGTATATATATATATATTGATCTAAATAAATATGTATATGTATTGAATTCGGTATATTATTTATAGAGTCGAGTTAAATCTACCGAATATTCTACGAGAATTGCGCAAGCATATTTATTTCAGGATTGTCATGTAAAATATTCCGAGCAAATCTAATTTAAGTCCAATTGATTTGTACTGAATACACATGTGTATATATACATATACGTACAAACATATACGACAAAAATAACCGTTGTGAGTAAACAAGAATTTCTTTTTTTTTTTTTTTATCTATAATCATCGCTATTAATAACAAAACTTAAAATAACAAAACTTTAGACTAATTGACAGAAGGTTATGAAGAACGCTATTCTATCAGTTGTAATTACAGAAACGTACTGTTTGTTGTAATATGACCTAAAGCCCCTTGCACAATGGAAGGAATAGCGATAGCGATAGAAATAACACAGTTTTTAACACAGAATTCCAACTCGTCGGAAATTTTATCGCTATTGCTTATTCCGATTTTCTGATCTGCATTGATACATGTGTAGTTTTGTATATTAGATTCCGCTGTTCCTACCTTTATTTTTAAATATAAACTCTTTAAAACTTTTGTTATTTCTATCGCTATCGCTATTCCGTCCATTGTGCAAGGGGCTTAAAAGGCACAAAAGTCTAAAAAACGTCGTAAAGATGTCTAAAAAATACCTACAATAATTTAGACGTCTTTTCACTTAATCGGAAATTTACTTTTCTTTCTTTTTGTAGTAGAGTAGTCATACAAATATTTTTTTTCGAAACGATATAATTAATAATTAATAGAACAACATTTTTAATAATTATATATAAATTTATTTTACATATTGTTTTCGTTGTGCAATATCGAGCGGCTTATCCCTGTACGGCTTTATTCCGATTGGTAGACTAGCTGCTGGTAGATTGCTTGTCAGACATGACAAGGTAGCCTTTGTGGTCTGTTTGATAAACTGTCATGCAGGAAGTACTTCGACTGTTATCATTCTGTTAAACTCTCTACCATTTGTGCAGTGAAAAAGTAATCGTGTAGCGTGCAAGTAATAATATACGTGCGTTATGTGATACACAACTAAATAACCGTAAGATTTCGAGCTCATGCTCTTCGCGATTGTAAACATTAACTCTCACAATCGCGAATATCAGCAGGTCTTCCGTAATGAATACCTAGTAAGTATCTCTTCCTCTTTTATTTAAGTCTTATTGTCTCTTCGTAAAACAATACGTGGCACAAAAAAAGTAACACTTATCCAACTGATAAGCGTTGATTTACGTAAAAACCGATGGTTTCGAAAAGCGTATGTATAGCATGTAAGTACTGTTTTCAGAGTCTAAAATAAATTTGGTGTAGTCAATCAATAATATGGTTTTGATATTTCTCTGTGCTGTTAATAAAATGCCGGGTGTAAATTTATTATCTACCACTAATATTTCTTTACTAATATTTTTAATAACATAGAAGCTCACAAAACTTCTTTTTCTATTCTACATGTAGTAACAGAAATACATCAGGTGTATCAGGAAATGCCTTTGATTGCTGGGTTCAGAAATCTAACATGCATGATGATTCTGCTATCTTGAAGATGCAACATCAATTTTGGGTGACAAAGCAGTTTTTCTCTAGGAGATTAGGAAAGAAGGAAGATGAGTGTATTCTTTCTTCTGATGCGGAACTGGATGCAAAGTTAGAATTGTTTCGTAGCATCCAAGAGTCCTGTTCCTACTTACAAAGAGTTATTGACAGATATCAAGAAAGATTATGCAGTGCGTTCTAACATGGTTCTCTAACATAAAAATAACATATATATGATTAATAGTAACGTATATGTTTTTTTCTATTATTAACATATATCTATGTAATGATATTCTCTGAGATAATGTTAACCATTATGATATGGTAATTTGAATATTTTGCATATAGATTTGGCTCAGGAAGAAAATGCAATGGGACGTTTCCTAAAAGATGCTGGGAAGCAAGATAAAACTCGCGCTGGCAAAATGATGTCAGCGGTGGGAAAATCTTTATCTTATTCTGGTCAGCAGAGACTTGCATTGAGAGCTCCTCTAGGTCGGTTGTATCAGGAGGTTGAAACATTTAGGCAAAGAGCTATTGAGGATACACTACAAAATGTACAAGCTATGGAAAAAGCTCGCACAGAGTATCGAGCAGCTCTGTCATGGATGAAAAACATTTCTCAAGATTTAGATCCAGATACATCCAAACAAGTGGAAAGATTTAAAAAAGTTCAAGCACGTGTTAAGCAGTACGTTTTATTTTATATATTTATATATTTATAACAACTCTATTAATAAAAGTTTATTTTAATCATGTATATATACATATATATATATACACAAAATATTCCAACAAATTTATATTCACTATTTCTAGGGGCAAAATAGTTTTTGATAATTTGGCACTTGACTGTCTTCAAAAAGTTGACTTATTAGCGGCAGCGAGATGTAATATGTTCAGTCATGCCTTAGTTTTATATCAAACCACACTCTTAAATTTCACCAAAAAATCTGCACAAGCATATTCTACAATAGCGAATAGCTTCAAAGGCTATCAACGTTATGACTTCACAGTTGTACGGGAATTAGCTGAAACCTCTAGCAAATTAGCGCAAGAAACTGGTGGTGACGATGATCCGGAAGATAAAGACAAGTGAGTTTAAAGAATAAAGAAAGATAATGATCAATTATTTTTGCTTTGTTTCTTTTTTATAGATTGCCATTTTTTGACATGGACTACCACGATGACGTTGAGGAGGCCCAAGAGGCTGCTGCAAGTTCAGAAAACACATCGGATAAAAATGAACAAGCAGAAAAACTCGTGGATATAGAAAGCGAGGCAAAGGACATACTAGTAACTTCGGATATCACTACAAATTCCTCGAAGAATGGAATTGTGCATAATACTAATGATACAGAAAACACTAAAAGTCTCGAAGAATTTTTCGGAAATCTAATTTTGGAAAAAGATATATCCAATACTAAGGGACATTCGATTAATAAAACAAAAGAGAACGATCCTGAACTTAATAAAACTTCTGAGGAACAGAAGTTAGCGATGGATATATTTGGGGATTGCAATACAGATTTTATGACTAATTTGCCTTCTTCACCATTGGAGACCCAACAGCAACAGTCATTAAATTTATTGGTCTCCGAAAGCGCAGCGCTTTTCGACGAAATTCTGGACGATAAGCAACAAAGCGCGACCAGTGACTGGGAAGGCATGTCGCATGATACTTTTCTACCTCCAAGTATCTTGAAACAGAGTCTGGGAGATGCAGCATTGGGTATGGGACAGAAGACTACAACGCTAACCACAGATGAAAAAGTAAATATCTAGAACTAAATCCAATAGTAATTCTCTATTTTGTATTATTTTCTGCAACGCCTAATTTATTAGGTTTGCAATTGGGATTAAGTAAGATAGTAAGAGACATATTTGTGCTACGAGTAAAATAACATTATTACCCTTTTTTTTTTTTTAGAGAGTAGTAATAACATTACAATAATCTTGCTTGATTAATGTAACGATATTCTTTTTGTAGAAAAAGAATAAAACGGGCAAGCAAAAAGGTAATTCGTGGTTGGACTTATTTGCGGAGCTGGATCCATTGGCTAATAATCCAATGGAGAATTTTCCTGGTGATAGTAACGCTTCAGCTTAATTCATAAGGTATTTTAACTTTGATCTCTAATTATTTGATGTTTATAACAAGAGAAAAACTTATTTGCTGTCGCCGAGTACAATGAACGTAATTCAGTACTTTCATTTCGTACATTTGTATCGGTATTTTCCAGTTCAGCTTTTAACATTCCATTTTATTTTTAATGGAGTGTCATAAGAATAAGAAATCTATATTTGAATTCTATATATATATATATAAATTATATATATATAATTTTCCATATAAGCTAGAAATACACATACCAAAGATATAAAATGTAATATTTATTGAACATTTTTTATGTGCTAGTTATATGTTTTTTCTCTCAAATATATTACAAGATCTTCAATATAAATAAATTTATTATGGAATTCCTTGTAGCTCTGACGGACATTCCAATGTCTGTAAAGCTCGTATCAGATACATTGATCGATTGAGACGTGCACGTTAAAGATTAAAAAATCGTTTAATTAGATAATCTCAGTTTAACCTTATTCTTTCTAATTAGATCGTCATATTCGATCTTTGTTTAAAACCTTACCAGAAACCTAATAATCGGCTTTTTGCTGCCAGCGTTCTATTCGTGTTAAACCAAAAAAGTCCTTAATATATCATCAATATGAATAAAGTTTAAATGTGGTGCAATAAGATAAAATGGGATAATACTTCCAACTGTGTACTTAAAGAGTGTAGAAGTTTGTAAATAAATACGCATTCGCGCGCGGTAGATAAAAACAAGCAAGTCGAAAGTGTGCGGCGACTTTGTTCAAAGCGGTAGGTAGCATTATCATTCTCTAATCTTTTCTTTATATTATTATTATCTCATACGAGCTTTCATATATTCTAATTTTGAAATGTGTAAAAGAGTGTATTGCATATTATATGTTTCTATTCATTGTAAAGTTTATATTTTATGGTTTTTATTATTATACCTTCACTTATTGCACAACAATCCATATCTGACGCCTCTGCTTGTAAACTAATATTAGAAATTGATACATATCAATCAAGTCCGTCTACATAAAAAAAAACATTTGTTAATATGCTTTTTAGTAATTTTTATCTTTCTTTCTTTTCCTCTTTTTCTTAATATATACTTAAATAAAATAAATAATACTACGAACAACAGGTTACAGGCATAGGCTCAGAAATATCATTTTGTTTATGTTATTTTTATAACTTTCGAGTACTTATACATTGTCAACTAAAGCAACCGCAGTATTAAAGCTAAATTTGTATTTATGTAAAAAAAAAAAAAAAACGACACTGTAAATCATGACCTAATCCCTTTGTCGGCATTACGTTCCAAGTTTTCAAGCATCAATAAATTGCGCTAAGGCAGTCTTAACTCTGAAAGAGAAATAAAATAAAATAAATTTCGTATACAAAGAATTTGCAACATGCGATGTAACCAACTTATCTAATTTATAATAATATAACTTTGTCTTTCGTACTTCTCTAACAGTTGAGAATCATCTTTCGAATTATATAGTTGTTGCAAGATATGATAAACTCCTAATTCTTTCAAACGCGCCTGCCGTTGTATGGAGCCAGGATCATCTTTCCATACTAAGTTCTGAATACAGAAAGTAGCCGCAACTTGCAGCTTCACATTGCTATGCATCTAAATATGTACACCGAGACATAAAATTAATAGACGTTCAAAAAGATAAGTATTAAATTAACAAATTGTTCTATTTCTTTTTCCTATACTGTATATACAGATAATGTGTGGTTTAAAAATCCACACACAAAAGTTCTATTTGTTATCTAAAAATTCGAAATATAGATGAAATATTTATAACAGTGCATACAAACCATGTAATCTCTAAGTTTCTTAAGCACATCATCGTTAGCCATTATGTGATCTCTAGCTCGATCACCATCCGCCACATTCGCCAAAATGCAAAGTGCTTGCTCTTTGACGTCCGCCGGGTGTACTGGATCTTCCAATACTAGAATGACGGCTTGCATAACATGAGCAGCGTGCTCGCCCATGATACGATCTATATGAGCTTTAGTAGAGAGCAAATTTCGCAACAGGCCCAGTGTTTTCATCAAAACACCTAACTCTGGATCGGCCAAAAGACGAAAGATTTGATCGGTGCCCAAGCACGAGAGTATTTGTGACTTTATACGTTGCTCCGCTTGGAAAGCCACGTTCATTAGGGCCCAAATGCCGTTCAGTCGAAGTGCGGGGTCGGGGCGTTTAGTAAGAGAACATAATAATTCTACCCCGCCAGATTCGAGAATCGGTTCTTTGCTTGGACTAAACTCCAACAGTAAATTACATAAAGTACCGGAGGCGACAGTTAATAGATCATCTTCACTTTCGCCTCTACCTATAGTACAATAATGACAATAATGTTAATAAATAACTCATATAAAAGTCGGTATGATTGAATACTAATAAGAAAAACTAATTATAAGCATTGATCTCTTTATTTTTTTCCTGTTTGGGAAACAATCTTACAATGTAGAGAGAAAAAAAGTATATATAAGAATATATGTATTTCATATTTTTATCTACACGCATGAAAAAAATGTCTCGTTCCAAGTTCATTCTTTATATTGATATATCGTTAATGCCAGTCTTTTTTGTGTCTATTTTATAGAGTTCTTTATTCTTCTGTAAAATTATAATATCTGCTTTAATATGCAAAAATTCAAACTTTAATATACAAAAGCTCAATGAGCGACTTTTTTAATGCGTGTATTGTCTCAATTACAGTTCAGTTGGCTTATATAATATATAAAGAAAAATATAATTCACAATGCACAGAAATAAATAACGTCTTGGATATTGCACTTTTCCTTTTTCAAATATTGATTATTTCAAGATTTAAAGCTTTATATGTATATATATATATATATATATATGTATATATATATGTTATATATATGTTGTATCTCTCTTTTTTTTTTTACATGCAATATATACGCATGCAACATACATGTGTCTTAGCATTTATTGTAATAAGATTTCTATAATGATTTTTGTAAATGTGTTATCATACCCTCCAACCCTTTATCTGCTCCGTGCAGCAACTGCATGAGCGGTCTCCACACTGCATGATCTTGAAACGTAGTGCGAAGTTGTTGCACACTTCTCGAGAGAGAGTGCAGACATCTAACTGCGGCTAAACGAACACGAGATCCGCCAGGATCCTGAAGACCAGAGACAACTTGTTCCATAAGACTTTCTGTCTCGATGATACGCTTACGAATATCTTCGTCATTAGCACCAAGAGATGCAAATGCTCTAAATGCGGCTTGTCGCATATCTTGCGTTAGTGTTGCATCTTGTATCTGTAAAAAAAAACCAAATCGCACGTTTTTGTAAACATTTCAAACACCGATACAAATTAAAAACAACACTATTGTATTATATATGTTACCGTGAAAATTCTGTCAAAACCATATTTCACTAGGCAAAATTAGTTATAACACAGTCCCTTCATTAACACTTGTTTTAACTAATTAAATGTAAAATTCATTTTAAGTTTTTTCATTTATTTTTATTTATTAGGCAAAAACTAGTTAAGTAAAAGAAGTTAGAAGTGTTTCGACAAGTTCAGAGAAAAATTGTTCACTTGAACAATTCAAACATTTGAAATGTAGTACAATGTAAAAGTATGTTTGTTTTAGTAAACAAATGTTATAAACGAAGCTTACAGTTCCACCCAAGTTTTTAAGTTTCCACGCAAAGCGAAATTTTACATTAAAACTTCTTACGTTTTCAACTTCCTTTCCATTCTTCCAACTTTTATTTTTGTTTAGATAGAAGAGTACGAGAAGATGATATATATCCAAAAAAGAATGTATATTCTAGAGTTAAATTACTCACTTGTGGGTGTGGTCTCAGCAGTTCCGCCAGTGTTGGTATCAAATGATTACTGATAGACGCTAAACGCTGAAGATCTGTATCGACTTCAGTGAGATATGCGAGTGTCTCAGCCGCAGCAACTCTCTCGCGTGGTGGTCGATCTCGATGACATAGTCTAACAAGACAAGGTAAAGCACGATAGACCACTCGCGGGTCAGTAGCAGGTAATGCGCCAGCCCTGTGCATATACGCAATGCACCTGGCAGCTTCAAGTTGTATCAATGAACTTTTTTCGCGTCCCATTAATTGGCCTAGCGCTACAGGTACTAATCTGCCGTGAACAGTATTGCTTGTGCTTGCGGAAGCGACCATGGCGGATACCATATGATTCTGATAACACATATTTGCTAAGCAGGCTAGAGCTGGCAACTGAACATCAGCCAGAGGAGAATCCAACTGCATTGCAAGAGTTTCTACTGCTCCACCTTTGGATAGAGCATTTTGTTCTTCTGCGGTCTAATGAATATAATTTGCAATATTAATTTTCTTGCATTCCAGATATCTCTTATTTCATAAATTATAATTTGTTTTTACCTTACATGCTGTAGTTAAGATTGTTGCAACACAAACTTGACAGGTAACAGATCTACTCGCCAAAGCTAACATCCGTGGCACCAATGCAGGATCTTGGTAAATGGAATGAACTGGTGCTGCAGAATGCTGGAATAGTGTGCGCAGACATCGCAAACAGGCCTCATTCAATTGATCTAGTACCTTTGTCTTGCCGTCCATAGATATTTCCAAATTTGATGAAGAAAGCAGAACTTGGAGAAGCAATGGGACTACACCCAAATCTATAAGCGCTAATACATGTTGATCTGTACCCTTGGCTAAAGAGCCCAATGTCACAGCTGATTCTAATCTTATATGATCACTGACAGCACCAGATGTATCTCCAAGCAATTGCAACAGTCGAGGAACAACACCCTGAGCTATAACTGAGCCTTTTTGTCTGTTACTGCCAATCACAGAATTCTTCAGGCATCTAGAAATTCATTTTAAATATTAATATATTATTTTTATCAATTGAAAACAAAAGATAATACAATTTTTTTTTAAATGTTTTAGAAATTGAATTGGAATATAAAAGTTATAATTAAATATAATCATTCACTCACATAATTGCATCCAGACATTTCTGTGGATCAGATGAATAGAGTTCATCAATGTAGCTCCTGGAACTCTCAATATCCTAAAAAATCACAAAGTACATTTAATTCTTGCTTCACAGAGTAAAAAGTAATGCTCACGACAGAATCAAAGAAAAATCATCAGATAATCAATACTTGAAAACAAAAATTTTTTTTTTATTTGATCCGACTTCGAACTCACCATGTACGGCTGCATCACTGAGACCATTGTTGTGTTCGTTGTGTTCTCGTAAATTGATTGAATTATTCAATAACTGTCGCAAAATGTTCCAATTGCAAAAAGTACCGTGTTCGCGAATTATATAGAACGTTTATAACATGTGAATCATGAGATTCGGATTTGATGAACGCACCCAACCGTGCCAGGAAAACTGCAACTCCGCGTTCTCGCTTCTAAAAGAAGCTCGATTTGCCAATGATGCCAATGTCACGGACAACCGCACTGAAATATTGCGGCAAGTTTCCTAATGCTTTTGCGCTCTCGTTGTCAAAGTTTTGCGGAAGAAGAAATACAAGAAAACTGTGTGTTTTCCCAAACAATTTTGTTCTGTAATGTTTGATCACATTCACTCTATCTAGTGATCAGTCACAATGACGAGCGAACATCTGCAAGAGCAAGGTAAAAGTAAAAACGTTTATGCGACGGACAAATACAACACGAAGTACAGCAGCGAGCAGTGTTGCCAATACAAGCAAAGTTCCCCGCAATTTTTTCACTCATGTCCCCGCGAGTGGTTTGTTGGTGAACATGTTCACGTTAGCGGAGAGAAGACCATGAGAGCGGCCATGCCATTGTTGTTTTTTTTTACGACGGTTTCCAGCCGCTACTTTCAGCGCCGGGTTCCACTTTGCGTGGAAACTCATGAACTACGAAACGAGTTCCACTTTCAGGCGCATACGATACAATTGTATCTCGGTTAGAGTCCGTGCTACGTCCACTGTACTGTCAATAAGTAGAACTGCCAACCATCGAGAGCATCGGTGAGACGGAGGCACGCACACAAACGAAACCGTGTTCGTGTGCGGTGACGTCCAACGACATGAAATGAAACTCAGCGCTGAATAACATAATAAATTTTGGTGAATTAAAATTGTCAAGATATAATAATAATTGTTAAGTTTTATTACGTCAAGACATGATAAAAATTTGATGACTTAAAAATATATGCTCTCAGTTCTAGCCTCAGTTGCTTTGATCTTCCACGAAACTTGGGTCCTGTTCCGTTATTACTGGCGGTATTGAACAATCTATAGGATACGTCACGTGAACTTATAAATTTTCAGTACTGCCAGTAATAACGGAACAGGGGGTTGGACTCGTCCATGTAGAACAAAGGAGAATCGCATGTTGTGCTTTACCGCGCATTTCAATATGTTCAAACTCGAGCAATCACGAGTAAGTTCCACTTGGCGCAACAATCGCGAGCTTAGGTCGAGTTTACAATATTCTGTTGCATTGGTCACTTTACCAAACATAACCAATGCGATTGGACAATGTGGACGCGACCTACGCTTGCAATTGGTACGAGCGACAAGAAACGCCGAAGCTTTCTCTGTAATCGACGCGCAACTCGAGACGGAGCTTCTAGCATTCAAATCAGGTAGTTTTCACTATTTTTGTCATTTTTCACATAACTATTCGTGATATGCATGTACCACAAAGTGTCGGACGTTCGAAACAACAATTATTTAGTACCGCACACGCGTCGAAAACGATGCAAGGCTGTCAAAGTGTTTTGCGGCAGTAGCATTTCCAAGAACCCGGTAGAGCACTTCCAAGAACACGGTAGAGCATTTCCAAGAATGGTCAGCTCAAGTACGTTTCTTTTCTAATTGTTTTGTCATTTCTTCGCGTTTGTTGCTATCCAGCGCGCGAATATCGGTAGTTGGCGAAAATTAATACATGTCGCGAAGTGACGGGTGTACGCATTGATAAGTTGTATCGCAAGTAGAGCTTGCCGTCCGTCCTCTTTTTTCCCTGAACACCGTCTTTTTCTTGGAAATGCCGAAGACGGGTGGATTTTCCAAAGACGTCCGCGGTGATTTATGCTCGTCCGGTGTTTTAGGGAATCTTGTTGGTAAATATTTTACTTTATTTCTCTCGCGTTACTCCGAGGTTGGATAGCTATCCGTCCTCTTTTTTTCCCGGACATTTGATGGCTACCCTAATCGCAAGTGATAGTGAAGCATTACAATCAATTATGGCGCGGCCATTTTTTTTGTCAGTAATATTACGAATTCGTATTACGTCTTGACTATGAATTCAATTCACATATTGAAAATTCATACTTTTTTTGTAAATGTTTTGTATATTATAATTTTTATATAGTAGAGAAACAAAAAGTTACATGTACATATCAATGTATACATAATGAATTAATCGTAATAAATATGTTTACATATTTTACAGAGTCCAGAATTAGAAGGCAGTGTCAGGACATATCAAACAGTGTGTACAATTTGTAAACAAGAAAATGCATTATAAATGTAGAATTACTTGCAATTGAAAAAGTGTGAACCATGGCTTTTACCTGACTTATTTCTTCCAATTGGAGCTTGATTCCGGGAAGAAGGTACGTTTACATTTATTTATTTTGATAATCAAGTTTTTATTTGTTTATATTTATGTAGATTTTTCTATTAGCTGGCTGAAAGAAGAAAAGTGCAACAAGTGCAATGATCTGATTTCAAGTGATACTGTGGATCTTTTAAGAGGAAGAGAATCTTAAATCGGTAAGCTGAGAACAAATTTTCTGCGATTGTAGTTCACAGTTTACGACAATGGATATTTATTGATGAATAAACGCGACGAACGTTCGAATCCGCAACAACTATTAGCC